CGGTGGAACGTAAAAGGAGACCGACTCGCGGTACGCGGAAAAACCAGTTTTCCGTATGTATTGTTTTACGGAATTACGACGAGTGTGTCTTTCGTACACAACAGGCCAGCAGAAGACGCGCGGTCGGTAGATGGGACGAGATGGTAAGAAGCGTCGCGCGGACCAGGGCAGACGACCTCGAGAGGTGAGTCTGTCCGCATGTCTCTTTCTCTCTTTCTTTATTTCTTTTTTCTTCTTGTTGCAGGTATTTCGGAGTGAACCGGGGGCAGCAGGTTTGACAAGGCGAAGGCACAGGGTGTGCACGCGCGCGATCACGGTCGAGGCTACTTGGCCATCCACGAAACAAGCGAAAACAACCGCGAGAGACCTCTAGGGGGGGCCTAGCGAAGGCTATTTTCGGTCGAGTCCGCGGAAATGGAACCATGACGAGAGGCTCTCGTGTCGCGGCTTCGGGGGTAATGAATACATGTACCTACGAATAAAAGACTGACTACCATTTCTTGGGAAGAATTTTTCTTCTAAATTCTTCGCCCTCGACATCATTGACGGTCTTGTTCGACGATCTACGAAATGGTATTCACCTGATTGGGACAAGTCGTGTCTGGTTGGGAATGTCAAGAGATTGTTGAATGGGTCGAAAGGGACTACCTACTCGAAATTGGGACAGAAATTATAATAGAGTCTGATATTGGGACCATACTCCCGGCCAAGCCTGACATTATGCCGAGAGTTTCGCTCAGACCCAAATTCTTGTTTGGGCCCGAAACTGAAACCGAATCTTTGTCAGGGTTGAGGCTAAACTTGGGCCTTAATTCAAGACCGAAATGAAGCCTAAATCCTAGATCTAGCCCGAAATGAATACTGCAGTCTAGAGTAGGTCCGAAATGAGGCCCAAATCCAACATATAGTTGAAATATAATCAGAGTTTCAGCAATACAATATTAAAGTATACATCAACTAAAATCACTGGGGAGTCCAGGAACTCGATCTAAATAAACTCGAGCGTAAACGTAAACAAGCAGAAAAATCATGGCACGTCACAGATGTGACTCACCCTCGGCTTTCCACGTCCTTTATCTCGCAATTCTTTGTACCGACCGTAAATAAAAAAAACAAATCATTAAACAGATCATCTATCTTTAACAAAATTCCAATAACGATACATCCTCGGCCAATCTAGTAATTTATTACTAGACAGTGAATATTAACACAGAATCATATATATTTACAGCTTAATTTATAAAAAAAAGACAACTGAATACAAGCGCACATACTTTCGATTCTATTAGATTAAAAATACAACGAAAATATTATTCAGCTTTTTTGAATTTTTTCAAGCACGCTTCAATAATCGAGCACATGGTACCGGTCTAGAAAACCGAATTTTTCCTTTGTTCCGCATTTCAAACACTTAAATCCAAGTATTTCGGTTGATCTCAGTAAACACTTCACTTTTACTTTTTCTATCAAATATTCTGTCGAAAGCGGTCAAACAGTCCGATCTGATCGTACGACGGAAATGTATGTATAAAACATACATGATATTTGTACGTTTCTACGCGACACAAAGACTCTCTATTCGAAACCGTGGTAGAGAAAAAATAGGTCCTACGTCACCATCATAGGAAGCCCGAGGACGCGGGTCAAAAATTCTCCGGGCGCGTCGAAAAATCATATCGTGGGACGACGCGAGGGCGGAGAAAAAGAAACTGGAAGGGTTCTCTCTCACCTGTTGAAGGTCTGCTCGTACTGTTTGATCTCGCGGCGGGACAGCTCGTGGAATTCTGTATAAACGTTCACGAATTTGTACTGCTTTTTCACCTCCTTCCCTTCCTCGAGCTCGTCGTTGATCCTCTGCCGCCTGCTGAGCAGATTACTGAGTTCCGCGTCCGCTGGCATCTTCCTGTCGATGTATATAACCTTTTTTCTCGATTTTCGTCGATCGGTTAACCTTCACGATCGCGTATCACAAAATATAATTTGGTCGACGTCGCGATCTACGTGTCAATGATACCTGAGAATTCGCGTGAAAGGACTCGAGAAATTGCGGGTGCAGTGAAACGAAACGAGATTTGGAAGGAATTATTGTGTTATCTGTCAAATACGAGGGTCGATACGGAGCAACGAGACACACCAACCGGCCGGCGCCGTGAGCCAGCATGGACTGACGGTGCGCCGCGCTGCTCCAGTCCTAGAGGCACCTTTGGAGACCAGTGACGTTGCGGAAAGGGGCTGCGAGGGCGCTGCTGTCGATACTCCGAAAAACAATTCTATAATTTATATCTGTGGCTCGGTGCAAGAAGTGCAGAAATATTATACATAGAATGATATCGATACAAGGCTTCGATGAATTAACCTTCGAAGAATTTACTCGATAACCTCGTAAACGGTGTAAGGTAAAAACCAGAAAAAAAAATCAAATAAAGATAATGGTCTTCCCTTAACAAATTTGTGAGTCACTGCATTAGGTGTACAAATTAATTCGTGGCCTTCTTTCCTCACATTTCTTGTTTATTCGCAAAAAAAAAAACGAAATACAGTGTAGTTTTGAAAATGTTCCCCACCACTTTCTACACGTTTACGTCATTTCTAGGGCAGTTAGTGAATCCTCTCTCGATAAAAATGTTGACGATTTTGACTCAATAATTAATTGTGGGGTCCACTAATTAATTTGTACACCTAATATAATATTAATTTTAAATAACTGAATTATAGAATTTATACATTTTAAGTGAAAATAAAGATTCATTCATAAACATTCACGATGGTCGAAAGTAACCAAAATAAAACTCTCGTCACGAATATTGGTTACCGCGTACCCCAAAAACAATTCCTGTCATCAATAATAATTTTCATCATTGATAATGGTTATTCATAACCAAAAAAAAATTCCGTCATCGATAATTGTTATTGATAATAAAATTGTTAATGATTATTCGTAACCAAAATCATTCACACAAAGATATTAACTTATACCTTCACTTTTTAAATTTTGATTATCCCAGTTAGGTCTCTGATGTTCCATGTCCAGATACAGGATCGTCCTCATCACCTGCGTCGTACAACATGCTCAAGTACATCAAAATAGACACCGTCGAGTATTTCTTATTATAGGACGAGTCCTGGATTATTGACAATTCTCGTCAGTGGTACGTTAGACGCCGTACTGAAACATTCCTTCGTACAATATACGTGCCAGTCGTTGACTTCTTAAAGGACAAGTGTTACAAGAGAACCGAGACAGAAACGTTAATCGTGCGTGTACCATATCATGAAGAGCACGAGGACGGTTCTTGGGAATAGCAAGACTTACTGAGTCCAATTTCGATATTCTTTTAACAATCACCAAAGAGAAGCATACTCTGTGATGAGAACATCGTAAGGATCTTCTCCAGAAGACCATTGATTGCTGTGGCTCAAGAGTTCTTCTGGTCGAAAGAGCTCTGGACCCTCTTGGTGATACCAAAAATCGTGTTTCTTGGGAATAGCAAGAATTACCGAGTCCAAGGATGTCCTCTTCGTCCGATAATTCACAGAGCAGCCAAGTAAGGTTGAAAAGAGGTTCGGTTTTCTGCAGCACACCAGTGAAAACTGTCTGCAGGAAGACCAGCATTGGTTTCTCGACGGTCAGCAACGGATCCTCGTCCAGCGTGAACACTGAACAGAATGTGTTGAAAAATAAATGGAAAGCACAGAGAAAGGAAGACAAGCAATTGAGAAAGGATCGTAAGAAGAAGAAGAAGATAACGTTACGAGAGTCGTCTGACAGCGATTGGATAACGGAACGGATACTATTGGACGATGAGAAGGAAAATCGGCAGCCGAATGAGACGGATATTGTTCACACGACACCAGAGGATGTGTTGTACATGGGCATAGGATCACCGGAACGTCTTCGAAGAGCTGAAGTATTTCTTGATAAACTTTTAGATTCGCCGACTATTTTACCCCATCGAAGGGAGGATAAAGCTCCTAGGAAGATAGATCTGGAGGACAGGACGCTCTTGCCTTTGATCGATCTACCCCCTCTTCAATATCACTTCGATGATAGCGACGAGGAAGAAGAACTAAAACTACGTAAATTACAGTCTTATTTTTTTTTATTATACAAACCTTATTTGCGATCGAATTTCAGTGTACCAGCAGAACCCGAAAACATGTCCAGGTGCAAGAGATCGAAAGAAACAGAAAAAGAAAATATCGATCGACAAGACCAAACGATGGTTGGTGGATATGAAGATCCCTACAGCGTCGGCTGATCTTCTTTGGGATCAATATATGCAGGCACATCCTGAAGAAATGGTCAAATATGCTGCTAGATGCTCCAGAGTGGAATCATCGTCATCTGGACAACAGAAAAAAAGTCTAAATAAAGGTAAGCGATAATATACAGTTACCAAATTAATGTAGCGTATGCAGTGTTGGGCATTATTGATTCAATGTTTATTTACATAATTATTTAAATAGAAGTGTATTTGTTATTTGGGAATTCGAATAACAGACGGAAATAAATTGGCTACGCCTATGATTTCGATGTTCTGATTTTCATTTCCGTGGGATTGAAATATTAGTCGATCAGTCGGTTCTAATATACCTATTCCATAATCCTTTAATGTGTTCAAACTCATCTGATAGTAAAATTATTAATCCTGATTAGGTCGTCGTTCGGAATTATGGCCGGAATTAGGGATACCAAAGCATATGACTATAGCACGTGGATACTTGAATAAATTTATGAAGAAATCCATTCGAACGTATAACGACGTGTATAACTTTCCTGAACCCCCCGTGGACTGGGAATTTCAAAGAAATCCCGAAACAGGAGCTCCAAATATAAGTTTAAACGAATATCTCCTGAAATGCAAGAACCGAAAGCAAGACGAGGATATAGAGGCGGCTGGTCCGTCTTGCTCGAGAAACAACAGACATACCAAAAAAAATATGAAATATTTGAAAAAACGACCATACAAAAATATAGATAAAAAGAAAGCCGTTCGTAAGGTTTACAGCTCAGACTCTAAGAATCCTGAGTTGGTATCGGTAGATGTGTCAGATGAAGAATTGGACAGAATTCTTGAAATTCGTTCGTTTGAGTTGCTATTGGACGAAATTGAAGAGAAAACGGCTGCTAAGGAAAAGTCCTGTCAAGGCTTGAATCGAGAATCACAAGAAAATTCAACAGAAATCACGCGGAAAAGAAGGAGTGAAGGCGAAAAAAACGTTGCGAAGCGACCAAAAATGGCGGCGAAAAACAAACCTGTGATCAGATCTATAGAAACATTGAAGAGGAAGTATTATAAAGAGGGAGAGAATCATTGGCGAATTACTTGAACAATTTGTACTTCGTTAAAGTACTCTGTCCAATTTGTATTATGGTTTGATGAGCCATAGTAATTCAATATCGTCAAGTATTGAATACCTATCGATCGTGTTTGTTGGCGTAAAAAGAAGAAAAAACATTTATATTAAAACTTTGCATATAGAAAACTTTATCTTGTGAAATTTGTATTATCAAGTTTTGAATATTTGTAATTAATTTTTTCATGACTACTATTGCGAAATCGAAGAATTGTACGCTCTTTTACAATTTATAATTGAATTTTCGATTGCATATATTATTTTGATTCTATGTATAGTTTATTATTGTTCTGTTGAAAAAAAATTATTGTTTGAATAAAAATTCATTTGTTAGACGCAAATTAATTATTTCACCTTCTATCATTGATCGAAATGGTTTATTTTATTCGTTTCAATTTATGCATTTGAGACACTGAACTATTTTTTCGTTAGTCTTTTTAAGTTTTACGGATCAAATAAAAACACTCATTTCCTTATATTCTTTAAGGCAAATTCGATTTTATAAGCTACAAGAACGTTACTCTGACAGCTTGCCTAGCCTAGCTTACTTTTAAAGGTAAAGTAAGGCTAGGTATGAATATCTATATACAAACTTTGAAAATGATCGGTTCGTAGAGTAAATGTTTATTTAGAGAAAAATGGATAAATTTTAATGATAGTTTCAAATATTGCTTCCGAGATTTTTCTACTTGATTATTCGATCAAAGATGTCGCCGGATTCGTATTGTTAGACTCTAATTATAGCTTCTCAAGGAGCATTCGAGAAATAAACAGTTTAAATTGAAAATAAAGTTATTGGTTGTGTAATACCGTCTCTGTCCAATTTCTTCTGCCTCTTTCTTTCTTTAGACCGAAGCTAAATAAACGACGCTCGCAGGTTCGGTATGAGTTTCTTTATCGACTTCATACGGAGCGTGTTTCTGAAAATGTTACAGTTAATATGGTTTGGCAAGCGAAGAATCACAAATTCGCTAAGTATTTATGTGAAAACCAACACTGGAAACACGCTCGCTGTTGATCTAGATCCAAAATGGGACATAAAAAACGTGAAAGAAATAGTGGCTTCTCAAATGGGAATATCACCTGAAGACATAAAAATTATATTTGCAGGAAAAGAACTGCACAATTCGACAATTATAGAGGTAAATATTCTTATTTTACACAACACCAGCCATGACAATCAGTTTTTTCATAATACAGATTAAATTATGTATGATAACCTCACCTGGTTCTAAATTTTCCATTCCTGCATCCATTATTTTATAAATACAAACTTCGTATAGACTAAAAATTTTATTAGTCTTTTGTGCCTTGTTATATTTCATACCCTGTAATATTTATCCGGTGTTACTGTAGGAATGCGATTTGGGACAACAGAGTATCTTGCACGCTATTAGAACTCCACCTCAAAGACTCAATAGAAGTAAAGATACAAGTACCATTGAAGAATCTTCAGAACTGTCCGAGTTAAGCGATAGCGGTGGCAAGCCGATGAATGAAACTCTTACCGATTTACCTTTAGACGAATCAGATTTACAAGAGAATTCATCGATGGAAGGTAGAATAATTGTAGTCTTTTAAAGGGTAAAGATACATGGTCAAGTGCATACCTATTAATATATAATATTTTCAATAGCTCAATTTGTTTTCATATTCTTTCTGTTTGCAGAGTATCAGGACAATCGGGCACATTTTTTTGTATTTTGTTCATCACCCTGCAAGGCAGTCACAACAGGAAAATTAAGAGTAAGATGTTCAACCTGTAATACTGGCGCTGTTACTGTAGATAGAGATCCACAGTGTTGGCCAGACGTGCTCATGCCAAGAAGAATAACAGTTCACTGTGAAAATGACTTGTGTCCAGCACCTGCAACAATTTCTGATGATACAGAATCTCAAGTTCTGTACGCTCATTTCTATTTCAAATGTGCAAAGCATGCCAGCCTTGGTGAACAAGATGAAGCAGTTCCGTTGTATCTCATAAAACCAAATTTAAGGAAAATACCTTGCTTGGCATGCACAGATGTTAGGTGATTACTTTAACGCATACATACAGTAGAAGAAGCATGAGATTCTCATACATTTAATTGTGTTACAGAGACACAGTATTGGTCTTCCCATGCGAAGCAGGTCATGTAACTTGTATCGATTGCTTTAAAGATTACTGTTCAGTTCGTTTAGGAGAACGTCAGTTTCAGTTCGATGAGGTTAAAGGATACTACACTCTTCCATGTCCAGCAGGATGCTCAGATTCTTTAATTCCAGAGGTTCATCATTTTCATCTCCTTACTTCAGAGCAGGTACTCGATGAACACTATGAGATTATCACAATCCTTTCAGGCATTAATAGTATGTGTATTATTTAGTACGATCAGTATCAGAGATTTAGTACAGAAGAATATGTTTTGCGCGTCGGTGGTCTTTTGTGTCCAAGACCAGACTGCGGAATGGGTATTATACCAGCTTCTCCAGATGATGGTAGCGATAACGAAGAATGCAGGAAAATCCAGTGCATTGGTGGCTGTGGAGTAAGTATATATGTATAAAACATATTATAAGTTATGCAAGTGTTTACTAATCGATAAAAATGTTATCATAATATTTTGTCGGCAGTACGTCTTCTGTAGAAGATGCTTACAAGGATTCCATGTAGGGGATTGTGAACTGCAGCCATCTTCCAATACAATACAGAAATCTGGCAGATATACCGTGGACCCGCAAAGAGCTAAAGATGTACTTAAAGCAATATTTATCTAGATTCTACTTGTTCTGTTATCGGAAATTTATGCCATGATATTCTTTGTAGGCAAAATGGGACGAAGCTAGCAAAAAAACTATACAAATATCAACGAAACCGTGTCCAAAATGCAGGACGCCGACGGAAAGAGATGGTGCTTACAATATCACATAAAGAATAAACGTTACAATACAGTAATTGTTCGATATTAATAAGAAATATTTTTTAGGAGGATGTATGCATATGGTTTGTACAAGATCGGGTTGTGGTTACCATTGGTGTTGGGTATGTCAGACACAATGGACGAGGGAATGCATGGGTAATCATTGGTTTGGTTAATATTTAACCGATATTTAGAAATGTATTGTAATATTAATAATTTATACAAATGTAAAGAGAGAGAAAATTTGCATACACTATTTTTATGAATAACTAGATACTAGTGAAATTAAGGACACATCCAGGAAGGAATAGAATTTAGATTTTCTCCAAGGAGAATTAAATTTTTTTACGTCCTTTCTACCAATTGTACTATTTTGTGAATATATAATCAATTTATTAAAATTCTTTTTGCTTTCTAGAAACTTGATTATTATTTATAAATTAATCGTTGTGTATATATATAACCGTTACAAATTCATATCTCGACGTGAACTGTAAATTATTACCAACTAAATGTAGAACTGTTTTTATTTTGGTCACGAATAAATAATTGTACGTCTTTTATGAGCAATTACACGATTTTATTGCACTTCTCTGAACTCCAAGAAAGAAACGGTACTATGCACGTTCGGTATACTTTATTGTAATAATTATACTATCCAAATACATACCATTTAAAAATATTAAGACACGATCTTAGGACGGATTGATTTCTCGGAAATCGAAATCGAATTAATCGATTACGAAATTCTTAAAGTACTGTACTCAAACAGTTTGCAATATCTACAAACTGTCCGATTAATCCCAATACAAACGTTAACGCACAGTTTTGTCCATCATTATCTTTATACAATAATTCCTCGATGAACGCGACACGAACAACGGCGTTAGTCCCACCATTAGGACGGCCCCCTTCTGGAACCAATCGAAACAGAGTAACCAAAAGCTAAGCAGAGGCTCGGCTTCGTGCAAAAAGCAAATTTATGAGAAGTTGAAAACCTTTCCGCCTTGCCATAAATGCTCCGAAGAGGATCCGAGTCCGTCCCATTCATCGAAACATTACTGTATATTGCCTATACGTTTCGGCTCAAATTAGGAAATTCATCCCATGCTTACGAATGATTAAGGGGTTTCTCTAAATAAAGGCTCTGCTTGTCGAAAAATTGTAATTCCCGAAAAAGATAGCCCTTTCAAACTTGTCGACAAGGATTGTTTCCGTTACATACCCCCTCAATCTTCAAATGTCTAATTTATTTATCTCATACTTATTTAATCACCTAATTATCAGAACAACTGTAGAAACCATGAAACAGCAACGCTCTACCATAAATAAAACTAACTGTGATCACATACTTAAATCAAATCGCTGTAGTTTGCGGAGCAGGCGGCGGTGTCAGTGGTGTCCAACCGGTGGTCTGATGATCATTGGTCGCCATGTCGGATTCCTGTCTATGATGTCTGTCGATCACCGTTGTCAGATATCGTCTGTTCTCGTCCGGTTGCACGTCGTTCAATGTGTCTGCGCTTTGATCATTGTAACTGACCGATATATGGTGTTCCTTCGAGGGCGCATCGTACTCCACGCTGACAGGGGACACCGTTCCAGTCGGTTGTAACGGTTGCAAGTGTAACATCTGCGGATGATGGTGTTGCTGGTGACGGTCGGGCGTTGTGGACTGAACTGGAGACGCTTGGTACTCGTGAACATATTCATCAACTGGAGGACCCGTGTCTGGCCCGCTGGGATGCAAAGAATGATGTAGTCCACTGTGTGGAACCGAGGCGTAAGATGACATTTGATGATGCAAGTGTAGATTCAGGTTCAAGTACGGCTGTTGTTGCTGCTGTTGCTGTTCTGAGAGTGTGCTGGGATGAATCCAAGTGGAGGTATCGGTGCAATGGCCATGTTCTTGAGGGACAGAAGCTAGGTTCGATGGAATGTACAAAGCACATCCTGTGGCTGTAGTTGGCGATGATGTGCCAACAACACCTCTGCTGAACACTGTATGTGACGATGAAGTTGGTGATGGGGATGGAGATGTGGGCCACTCTTGAGCAGGTGGTAAACAAGCTGGACTCAGGTTCTGAAGTGATTCTGGGCTACGCGGTGACCATCCTGAGGCTGTCACATATGCTGTGGAATGGAGAAGTTGTACTGGACCATATGGATCTGCACGCTGCTCTGTAATGAAGATTTGGGTACATGCAACTTTTGGGTACATGAACTGTTTCTGTATCCTAGACAGATCCATTGGAATAAATCTCACGGAGTTATATAATATCCTAGGAAGAAGGTATCTTTGGTTAGGTATTCTCCTGTTTCTCATCGCTATTTCTTAACTCTTCTGAGCGTCTTGCATGTTATACTTAGGGAATGAGGTATAATGTTGTGTATAGCTAAATTTTATTGTATCTTCTCTTGCTGTAAATTCTTCGGATATTAAAGAAACATATAAACAGTACATGCAATATTCCTCTGTTATTAATCGCCTCGTTTAGACTCTTTATCATTTCGAAATTGATCTTACCGTCTTGTATATACTTATGTCTCAACGCATAAGGTGTGGATCTGCAGGTGTTCCTGTGACCAGCGGTAGAAACTGTGCAGGAATTCGACAGATGATTGTTGACCGTCACCGATGCTTGATTTTGCGCGGCTGCGATGGCCGTCGCTGTATTGTATTCGTATCCCATAGTGGTTTGAGGCAAAAACCAAGCGCCTGTGTCTGTAACCCACCATATACCGATCCATGTAAATCGGACAAAAAGAAAACTTTCAACTATATATTCTAGAATATCCACTCGTTCAACTTACACTGTGGATAAATCTGTGGATCAGCGGGCCTTTCCTTAGCGTCCAGGAACGCTTTTGCAAAAGGGTTGTATTTGATCTTCAAATTCGTCACTTCTTCGTTTTGGTATGCGGTTACTGCTATGAACTGCGTCTCTGGATACCGATACGTGAGCACCTGGACTTCCATAGATGAATTAAATTAATTTTCAATCAATTCTCTGTCTTGAAGACGTCCATTTTACGGCTATTTAAGATGCCTTTAGGACGTCTTCAAGGGGTCATTAGGCGTCATGTGCTATCTGGGTTGTAGAAGGTCCATATCCGTACCGTTCTTTGCTCCACAGCGTCCACACGAACCAGATGAACCCGTGGTTCGTACTTGTGCAACGAGTTCAGCATTATCTGCCCGCTCCCGTTAGTCTTGTTCGTCAGTTTCACTTTGGCGAACGACACCGCTTCCTTCATCCAATGGGAACCGAAGTTCGGGCTCTCCGGATGTATGTAGATCGGATTCGGTGGCGCAACTTCCGCTTTTCCACCAGGCACCCACTCTCCGTTCACATATTTCCACCTGATGGAAACATGATTTTATACATTTTGTACAAAATTGCATGCCTTGATTCTTAAGATTTCGAACTCTACGATTGGTCCCACAAACAATTGAGCAAAGTTACAGAAGTATTGTCAGATTCCCAGATTTTTTTAATTTACCTGTGCGGATCCACCTGAACGAACTCCAGCAGAAGAGTGTACATAGCTTTCGGCTCCAGTCCCCTGGCGACCACCTTCACAACCGGAAACATTCGTCTGAAAGCAGAGGACACAAAAATGAAGAATCCATTCTGAGACAGAGGTGTATCCAACGTGTAACCTTTATATTAGGACGATTGTACCCAGCTAGCGCATGACGCCTTAACGACAACCATTTTACGGCTATTTTAGGTCTCATGCACCTATAAGCCGTTTTCAAAGCGGCATTAGGCGTCATGTGCTATCTAGGCATAGATAAAAATATGAAAAAAAAAAAAAAATGAAACGAATATCTATTAGTTGCACGTCGGAATACAAAAGTAATCCCGAAAAGAAACTTAGGACTTTTGCACAACTCTAAAAGAAGAAAATTGGATTTTGCCTCTCCCCCCTGGAAGAAAAAAAATTGGATTTTGCGCCACCCCAGAAGAAAAATATTGGATTTTGCCACCCCCCCCCTGGGAGAAAAAAAATTAAATTGCCCCCCCCCCGACTAATAACCTGGCTACGCCTATGGATAGGACTGGTCTGTGCCTATTCCGTTCATCTTTATCTGTAACCGAATACCCATTACCTGGCCCGATACCAGCTACCACGGGACATTTTGTAAAATGATAAAGAACCCGCGGCGGGTCGTGGCAACATTTCATAAACACTAATGAAAGTAACGCCGGACGAGCACGGGGGCCCGATCGGCGGAGAAGAATCGGAGCCGCCAGCAATAAAACTACGATAGCCCCACGTAAAAACATTCTCTCGATTGGGACTGATGTATACCTGCGGGACACTTGGTCGATTGCTATGAAACAGGCTCGGTCGACAAAACCGTAATCGTTTTTAAATAATACACACGAATCGTAAAAGTGATCCGTTCCACGGCACGCCGGGTTATCTTTTGATCCGCCGGCTCTGAGCTTCGAACGATTTCCATTTGACAACTTGATCAGTCGAATTTCCGTTCTTCAGTTTTCTATCGCCCATGAATAATTCCTGCTTTATTAAAAATTATGACACATTAACATTAGGCTATTAGATAGTCCCCTGTGTGTTTAATGGTGAACAGATTTCGGGTTTCTGTTTGGCGGATCTATTGAAAAAATAGATCTTCGTAGTGAAAGGAAAGATTGACGATTGATTCTGTGGAGGAATTATTTTCGTTGACTAATGGACTGCTGTATGAGGATGAAAAATTGTTCTTGTTTCTACTTATCTGTTTTTGTATCTTAGAGTTAACCCTTGAACGGTGGTTGACGAGTTTACTCGTCATAATTATATTTTGTTACAATTCAATTCAAATTTACAGTAGGTGCATTTACTCTGCGTTCAACGAGTATACTCGTCATCCCTTGATTTTAATTATCCACGCAAGTGAACGTTTCGAAAAAAAAATTCCACCGTTAAAGGGCTAATAGTTTGCATTGTTTTATGAACTGGAAAGGAAGTTGAAGAGGTATTAAATTGTTTTTTTCCCTGTACACGGTACACTGGGGTCGCGTGAATCATCTAAAGTCTCGTAACGTTTCGCAACGATCATTTTTCCACTCACCGTAGACATTTTTCCTACGGCGGTGGTACATATGAACTATTATTTTTACCTTCTGCCTTGTTGGCACCGACGCTCTAATTAATACATTTTTACGCACCACGGAGAGCCATCTTTGCTACGGATCTTTCGACGCTCCTCCGACTCGAAATACACGTAACATACATGCATCTTCGATCCTTCGAGCAAATCAATTATCTTCCTTGGGTATATAAATTTTAAAAAGTATCTCGTGTCCCTGGGACAATATCAAAATGGTCAATTTAAGGCCAGAATATGGACATCTAGTGAAAATTATTCATATCATGCTTAAAGGCCCGTTTAAACTATCATAAATAAATTCCTCTTGGACCAATACAAATGTTAATTACAGAGTTTCTAGGTAAAACAGTAAGGGGGACATCACTTTTCAAGTATAAATTAGGATAAAGTTGTCTAATATGAGACCAATTTCTTCATAACTCTCGACTAAGAACACTTTTATTAAAATTCGATACTCGTTTCAGAAGTAAGATACACTACCTACCAAACGTATGGGACCAGGTAGAGTTTATATAGGGTTATATAGGGCGAAGGTTCACCCGAAAATACCAGTATGATACCGATATTTTACGTTCCGGTAGAAGTCCCTGCCCAAATCTGATCTCTAGTCTCATATCAGGAGAGGTTTCGTATTAGACAACTTTATCCTACATCAACTGGTAATAATTTCACGCACAATTCCACCCAGCTCACCTTCCATTCTTCGTGACGATCATCTCGTTGGTGAGACACTGGAACTTAGTCCACAGATCCCTGTCCTCCAGTGACAAAGAAAGAGGCAGACCCTGGCTACCAGTGATCGTCATACCGATATTCTGCCCGGAGATCACCGTTCTATCCTCGTTCTGCTCCTCGTGATCCCCTTCGGGGCTGGAACGACTTCTCGCTCTGCTACGATCCCGGTCACGATCCTCGTGGATCTCCCTGTCCCGTTCACGTTCGCAACAGGAGGAACGCGTTGGTGAACCAGGAGTAGTCGCCGACGGCTGCATCTTCCCTCGTTCGCAAATTTCTTCCCGTGATCCACCACTTCTGGTGATCCAGCTGCAAACCGGAAGAGGTTGACACTTTTTCGGTAAAACACTTCGATGACACGATTTCCTGTACGAAGATGAAGAGGATTTTTTTTTTCACACGATCAGGATAGTTTCTATGATTTTATTGTTGGTTCACCAATCAGAAGACGAATCTTCTATTCTGTCTTGACAAATAGTAAACACTTTCTCCTTAAATCACCTCGATTTAGTCGACGACTCGATTTTCTTCACGACCATGAAGAAAACTTCCTTTCTTCACACACCAAGAAGATCGTTCTTCTAATTCAAGGATGTTATCCTCTATCCTGAAGCAGCAAAGATACCTTATCTTAAAGTCCTTACAATTTCTCGTCACTTCACCAAAGGAAAGAACCTTATCCTCAATTTCCAAGAAGCAAAAGACAACTTCTATTCTTCCTCTGCATCCACACCAAGAACATCTGTTTCACAACTTCTTCGCCAACAGAAACACGAACATCTATCCCAAAGGTATATACAAGGATCCTTCAACCTTTAAGAACCCCGCACTTTCTCGTCTAACAAACGCCTTATCCCCAAAGACAAAGACCACACCACATGAAAGGATGTTAAAACCAGCGTAACTCCTCAATCTTCTTTCGACCACGATCACAATAATCCTCGATCAGATAACCCGTTACGCTCTCTAGCCACTTCACCAGCCGGAAGAGCGTTCGCATCCAACCCCGAAAACGAACAACACCAGCAACGGAAGTGTTACAAACCGGACACAGCACGTCCCCCAAATTGTCTTTCAATCGATCCGAATTAACAATCCTCCAGAATGAAAAAAAAAAAAAAAAAAAAGACTATAACAAACGTGGGAAAAGAGGATGACACAGAGGCTCGTCGAGTGCAACGGGGACAGAGAATATCGTCGACGGGTTATGTGTATTCCTCTTCCGTAGACTATTCGACGCGTCGTCCGCGTGGTCGTGGGGCTCGTAACACTTGGGCGCGATATTTCACACTAGCCGGCGAAGACGAGCCGAACTGACTGACATTATATCTTCCCTCTCTGTTCGCGACGTCTTTTTCTGGCCTTCTATTCTTCGCCGATGGATGCCCTCCCTGGTACCCGTCCAATCGATGCACGGAACACACCGTGGTCACCCGTGTTCCGCCGGGTGCTAATTGACGTTCCAAATTAGGAAGCTTCTTGGCCAACATGGCGTCCACCAGGAGATCCCCAGGCGATTGGCTAGGCTGTAGTGGACGTCCTCCCCACCCACCATCGCTGAAAACGATCTAGACGATGGTTTTCCGAGAACAAGAGGGACATTGGTCGACGCCTTTCATTCCTATCCTCCGCCAATCGATGCACGGTACCATTTTACGATTCCACGTCGGGTTGGTCGAGCCTCCGGAGGACCACGAGGGCCTGGGCCAGTCCGCCCACACCGACTGTGGCAGTCGTACTGCGCTCCTCGCTCGTACGCTCGCGCTTGCATCGAGCTTCCCGTCGTTCGTCCTCGCTCAGACGTTTCTTCTTTCTCTATCCGTGGGCCTTGGATGATTTGTTTGTTCCCTTTTTGCCTTCTACATACCGGTGGGTGCTCGCGGTACTGCGGTTGTGAGGCTCCTCTTCTTTCTCATCCTTTACACGTTTCTTCCGCGGCCGGAAGTGCGATGTGGATAGTAGAAATTGCATAGAAGAGGTTGCCCGATGGATCGGAGGGCGACAAGGTTGAGATCCAGTGGTGCTGTTTAGTTGACTGTATTCTTGATGGTCGAGTTCGAGTGTTGAAAACCGTGGTCCACGGGGGAGCTGTAGAAACTACGTCTTCGAGGAGTCTTCCAGGAGGATCCAATGATGGTTGGTAATTGCTAAACATCTTCTTCTTTTGTGTACTGTAGTCTGGATCCAGGCCCGATTAAGATTTTTTGTGACAAAAAAATCTTACCCCATTTGGTTGAAAAAAGGTGGAGGGGAGATTTTTGTAATACAGCATAACAAAATATTGAAAAATTTTAATTTACTTTTAATAAAATTAAGTAACATTTAATCATAGCGAAATGGAAGGTACAGAACGGGGCCCCCCTGAAACGTGCGGTCCCAGGCTACAGCCCCCCCCCCCTAGATTCTCTCTTGCTCCAATGCTGCCTGGACCTGTTGAAATGGTTTCGGTTATTAAATAGTTGAAATATTTGTAAACTGCGTTTCATGAGAGAAAGGACTCGGATCAGATTTTGTAAGCTTTGCGCAGTTCATACTTACTTTCATTGGTGATAGGCACCTACTTTCATTGGTCATTGGCTCTGTTTTCAGTGGAAGGAAAAATGTGGTTATTCGTGTCGCATTCATCGAGGAATCACTGTAAGGTTCCTCGAAAATGTCGTACGAATCAGATTCTTCCACTAGCCAGTTGAAACCAGTCATGAGACAGGTAACATCCAAGAATAGCGACTGATTCCATGATACAACGCAAAACACGCTCTTAATCACGGTTAGATCAGCGTTTATAATTCTTTGATGGACACCAGACGGCGAACAGGTGAAGGTTTCGGGGGGCCAGGGCCGCGAAAAAAACACAGTTAACCGTTCTCGAGACGGTCAGGCCCATCGGTCTGATCCGACCGTTTCGAGTCAAATGACAAAAATCAACAGCAAAGTTGGTTACGTCCGGCCGACCGATGTATCGCGAGAGTAGATATTTGACCAGGACCGTATTCTTTGTTTGCCATCGCTGTACGGGTTTCGGGTTGGTAAAGTAACCATTTCAGAGCCAGCTAGCTAGCCAGCGGCCCGATATTTGTCCGAGTAATTTTGTTTCGAGGGAAAAAGAGCCTCGCGATATATTTGTGCCCCAGGGGGACGTAACGGAGTGTCGTCGGACAGAAACCGTGTGTATATACAATGTGTAGAGATCCAGGATTTGCTCACTATGGTCGTTTTGGTTATTAAACGCGAAACCGTTCAATATTCAAACTGTACGAGCAAATAATCGATATTGGTAACTTATCGGTAAACAACTTACCAAACTAAATTGATGAACTTAACAAACACAGCCTGAATATCGTCTATAACGGTACATTTACAGACTCTGTCGATCGAATAAAGTTGTTTGAGGATGACGATAGGAGGGACGGAACGACAATGGATCATTCTAGCGGTCCCGTCGCCACTAAAACGAATTAATCGCTTCCGTTTTCTTTCCTCCAGAAGGAATCCATCGAGGTAGAATGCAACTTGTAAACAAAGGGACAAAGGCCCGTGCCCAGGGCGGTGTGATGGTTTATCAAAGCGATTGTAATCGTTGGATGTTTATTATGGAACGGGCCAACAGAAGGCGGCGTTCTTCAAACGCGATAAAACGAATGTCGTGGACCTCCCAATCCGTCGTACCGGGGGCTACCTAACCGGGCAGGTAGCGACGGACCGTGATATACGTATCGTAAACGGCTCACGAAGCGGTTGAGCACCGAGGATTTTTCGAGGTGAAGGTGGATCCTTTATTGCCCCTGCCACCGGTCGAGTGTAACGTGGAATCCGCGACTATTCCAAAGATACGCGAAAAAAAAATATTCTGGTGTTTTTAATGATACGAGAAAATATGAAAAGGATAAAATGTTTGCTTCAGTGGAGCAATTATAGATATAAATTTTCTTCTTAAGGTCATATTTTTTTATATTTCAAGGTCATCGTTCTTTTTTTTTTTAACGGGATAACATGATTTGATTAGTGTAACGTTATAGGTAATGAAATGGCAAATTTAATCTTGTATAGTATGTTGACCTTCAAGTGACCTTCGGTGGAGTTATTCTTTAAAAAGCTTTCTGAATGCGGCTTCAAAAGTTTTTGGGAACCCTTGAATACGGCAGCTTAGAAACAAGGGATATGTTTTGACGATGTTTCGGTGTTTACATTAATGGAAGTCTATAGGTTTTGCACTCCAAGTTCACCTGATTGCAAATCCAATTCACCCTTTTGCAAGATGAAATCTGTCATTTCATTAGCTGTAACGTTATACTAAATAAAAAATACGTCATCTCATTAAAAAAAAAAAAAAGAACGGTGACCTTGAAATATCGAAAAATATGACCTTGAGAAGAAAATCTTCTGTATCGCAATAATTGCCCCACTGAAGTAAACATTTTTCCGTTACACATTTGCTCTTATCATTAAAAACGAGGCTATTTCAGGTAAAAATCTTAGTTGACTCACCCTGTATAAGAAGAAAGAGACTCGATAATAAAAAATAAAATAACCGTTTTCAGAAATGTCTTCTCAGAGTCAAATTCATATAATCTCATTCTAACAAATTCTAACGTCTTATAATAATTAACACTATACCTACAGGATCATGTTTCTTTGATGAACATGTACTATAATCTATTTAAACAAACATAGTTCAATATCAGGTTGCTGCAGAAATTCTGTCCGTCGGTGGCCCAAACGATAAAAACAGAGTTTCTTACATTCTCAGAAACTAACCACATACATACACCCGTCATTTCAAAATCATAAAACCTAGTTGACAAGCATCATGTAACATAAAATACAAACTTTTGTTTACAAAATTAAATTAATATGTAATCCATCCAAATAGGGACAGAAGTTTTACAGCAACCCTTGAGGTACGTTTCCACGTGACAGTAAAGCGTTACTTTTATGGTCATGACACTAAATGTTACAACTAAACTGAAGATGTTTCTGTAAATATAGAGTTTTATGGATTAATTTCTCGAAACTGTATGCAAAGGAATATTGAGTTACCCTATTAAGGGTACTAGTAGATTCAAAATAACAAGAAAATCTGAATAAATTTTCTGAAAGTTTTTACGATATTGAATTTAAAACCATCAGATATTCCATAAATGCATAAAATCCACCGTCTAGCTATAACTTTTGTAGTTGTGGAAAACTAGATGTCATGGTTCACATCGTTAGACAGTGTCACAAAAACAAAAACCTTTTTCTGTCACCTAAAAACGTACCTTTAATATCGAGTATCGCTGAATAGTCGGCCATTTTATGTCCGACAACCCTAACAATTTACGTTGTTCTTTTCATGCTATTTCAACAAACATTTCCATCCCTTTTTATCAAAGCGATATTCGAGCGTTTCGGTGAGCCTTCTTCTTCGATCTTCACGTTCATTTGCTTCTCCGTTCCCTCCACGAACTCGTCGTCCCCGGTTCTTTCGTTGTCGCTCGAACTTCCCGCGCCGATCACTATGTAATTCCCGTCGTTTCGCCCGTTCGGGAAGTTCTCGTAGCTCCCCCGTTGACGAAGTATCGCTTGCACACCCGGATGAACCGCAGAACCGCTCACCATTCTTTGTCCCTCGAGCGATGGGAACGATCCATGAACGCTGTGCAATTCTACAGTTTCCAGTGCAGGACATTTTAGATATTTTCGATCATGTGATTTTAGCATAGACATATTTTTTTGGGCCGTCAAAAACAAAAAGATGCAAATGATTTAAGGCGACAATTTCTGTAATTATTATTCTTATTTCTGTAACAAATTCACAATTTCAGATACTAATGTGCAAAAATTAAAAAAAAATCATTCATTTTTTAAGGATCTCTGTTTCATTTTATAAAAACGAAAACTATTTTTTAATATTTATTTTCATAAAATGAAACAAAGATTCTTCAAAAATGAATGGTTTTATTTAAAACGAATATTTTATTCCATATATAAGCACGAAACTAACGGGATGATGTTTGTAATAATAATAAGTAGCGACTATTAATTACCTACACAAATTTATGTAATCCACTAAATATGGCTAAATGTCATATGCTATTTTGGGATGTCTATAAAGATAGTTCTTCTTGTATACGAGTACTGTTACAAAGATTCCATATACAATTAATTTGATTAAATTCAGTTGGTCTGAAATTTTTATAATCATCAGAAAACCTTTGATTATTATTCTTACTAGTCCAAGTTTTACATATAATAAACGATCTGCAGCTGCCACTTTTGGCCGCACATAATCGTGTAGAACAAGTCAGACAATAATCGAGAAGAGTCTGTGTTTAACAAAAAAACGCAAAAAAAGGTTGCGTTTAACCACCTAATAAATTAATGAATTTTTCCCCATCTTTGCGTCATAGAGAAGATTGAAATTTACTTCGAGTCTTGCGATCCCTTACCGGAAGATTGTCCGAAATTCTCGATCCTCCGCGTCTCGATTGACCAGCGTACCAGCAGCATTCTTCTGGTACGATACGCGACAATATCTCGCCGTTTCCAGCGATCCTGTGAATGGTCTGGGCTCCTAGGATACCACAGGATCTCGGTGAGAAAGGAAAGACGACGGGAGAGGTGAGATATGTCGTCGGGTGTAACTGAAGAAAAGAAGAAAACAAAAAAATATGAAAAATTCAGTGATTTTCTTTTCGACTGTCGCATAGATAATCCGTTTATTTTTTCATTTTTCTCTCGTTTACGCCTGCTTACGCTCGTTTTTTCACCTCGGATGGGACATAAAACGTGATTTTTGGACATTTTTCATTTTTACCTGCACCCCCGCTAAAAACCATTCGACCGTGAACGCCGGGTCGATCTTGACCCACGGGTTTGTCGACGTTTTTCACGTTTGATCGTTTTTGACTCGATCGAATGTACGCAATAATAATAATCAGACTACGGATTTTATGCATTTCAAATGTGTAAAAATGAGTAAAAATTTTCGTAAAGATTGGTACGAATTTTCCTTCACTTCAGACCTACGAAAACGTTTCTATAAAGGAAATCGATCTCTGATAGAACTTCCGTTCAATAAAGTATTATATAAAAATCTGAATTTGCATAAAGATCCACAGTCTAGTACATAATAATAATTACAAATATAACAACTGTAGTATAAATACGCAATTGTTTGAAGGAAAGTCTACAAAATTCCAACGATGACACAAATATACAATAACTCGCATAACTTCACAATAACGATTTCATGTATAATTTAGTCACACGAGTGTCGACAGACTTTCTGCAAACGAATCTCTGCGAGACACTGTACTTTCGTTTTGCGTGTACTTTAAACAGAAATAAAAATGGTAAATAAAATAAATAAGATTTCAGTGTAAAACTTTCTTCGATGTGGGTCGGATCTGACCCGGCGACTGTCATTCGTGCGGTTATTTCGCAACCCGCTGTCTTACGATTGACACGTTCACTGCGACAGATTGTGTACACACCTTTGACTGCAGTTAGTTTGCTTACAACAAAGAAAACAAAAAAATACTTCACTTATTGTACTGTAAATCACTACAATCCGTAGGTATAGCAATAAGTAATCCACTATATTTCAATTACGAAGCAATACACTTTAAATTCAAACTGTCTTCCCGCCGTTTCGTCGAACGAAAATGGTGGAGAATGTTAGAACATCGTTCTAAGTTAACCCACTGACCAGAGATCGTGATAAGTTCTCTCATTTTCCCAACTTAATTTGTTAAACAATACTATATATAGATTGACTTCCACAAAAAGAAGTCCCTATTTTGTCATGAAACAGTGGATTACTTGGTACTTATTGTTACATCCAATAATTTTACAATATTTCGACCAGTGTCCTGACACTTGTTACCGATAATGTCGCAGCGAACATGTCGGAGGACCTCGCCTCCTCGAACCAACACGACCGGAGGACGAACATCTTTCGTTCGAAGTTGAACCGAAGTGAAATGTAATTCTACACTGAACGAATGAAAGAAACGGTTCGATCGTTCGGTTCTTGGGCGTTCTATCATCGATTCTGCCGATTTCCCTATACTTTCAAGTACGGAGAACTCGATGACCGACAGGGTTGCGTTCTCCACCCTCCCCCCTCCTCCCGCGATATAATATGTATGTACTCCGTTTCGTTCGCGGTTGGAGTTTTTTCTTTCTTTTTTTTTTTTTTGATACAATAAAACACGAGCCTTTGTAAGGACTTTTACACCGACTTGGCACTTGCAGAACTAAGAGGATGTACAAGTTTTCCGTCACTTCCCGTAATATCCGCATAACTATACATTCTTCCCGGGTTCCTTAGCACGTCTCGCCTACCGATTAGTGTTAATAAGTCGCTAATAATTAGACAGAAAGTCGTTACGTGTTTATATACGCTTAAGTTCCCTCCCCCCCTCCCCTTCCCACGCGATCGATCTTCCACCTCTACTTTTTCTCGTGGATCTGTCGCGTCTGCACGCTAACGATGCCCGATTATGTACATTCAAAAGTATCGATACGTATTTATTTTTTTAGTATCAATACATACAATATATCGTACGGAAGATATCGGTATATTAATGCATATCGATACGATATTTGTAAGGAAAAAACAAAAACAAATCAGTAAGAAAAGTATTCTTTTCTTTAACCATATAAAATCAAGTAGAGCACTCGTTGGCGCATTATATTTTTATATACACTGCGTTTACTTCTGGTTAATTTTAAAAAACACATAATAAAACACATATACCTTCGAATATTTCGAAGATCTATACTAGTGATGGGTGATACAGTATCGATATTTCGAACCGATATATAGATATTGATGAACCGATATATCGATATTTACATGTATTGGAATTGTATCGGGCATCGCTACACATGCTTGTTCAGCTGGTCATTGCTGACAATGAAACGCAGCTCGATCATCCTAACTTCACTTTACACACACGCGACCCTAAAATCGCAGAAAAAGAAACGCCCCCCGTCTTTATATTACAGTCGTCGCCGCCAACAAGACAGATCGATAAAGTAACAAAATTATTAAAATTTCAAGTAATCAACGCCGTTATTAACGTCTCGTCGTAGGACACGAGCATCGGGGACGAGGCTGTCGCCATGGCTCACGATATCCACAAAAAGAACCATTGTGACGGATTTCAACGGATAAAATTGTTCGTCTAGCGTTGTCCTTAACATCTGCGTCTGTTCTGATGTGCCTTAAGCTTGTATACAAATTTTAGGATAGTTATTGTTTCTCTATGATGTTTTTTATATAATTTTCTGCGAACCAGATGTTAAGAACAATCGGATGATGATCGATCGTTCCGTTACAAACATTCTCGCACACACGTGTGTGTCGTTTAAAACTTCTTGCACAGTTTCTCTATCACAACTGGTCACCAACCGACGCGTTACAATTAATAATCGTTCCACCTATGACTACATCGTTTCAATTTTTTTTCCCCTTTAAAACAAATCACAGCATTATACATCATTTTCTGTTCCCCAGGGCGTTCGTTCGTCCCAAAAAAAAAAGAGAAGAGAACGAACGCTCCCGTCGAAAGTGTTTCTACGTTCGATAATAATTATAAACTTCAACGTTTTTACTCATCTTTAAATTGAACAGTGTTCGAGCTGTCTGCTCGACGATAAGCTATTACCTCATGCAGAAAAGCGCGTTGTTCCTCCGAATTTCGTAACATAGTCTATCTTGCATTGATCCAGAAGATTTATTGAAAGATGCTTCGAAATGTCAACGTGTGTCCACTCGTTATACCTTAGAACTCTCCTGACATTAATTTTTTAGCTTTAACGAAGATTCTTTTCTTCGATAAATATTTATCTTTCAATAATATCCCGAAATCGAATCTCAAGATGATAATCGAGACAATAAGTTCCATGGCCTCCCTTCCCCCAGTGGTCTATACAATAATCGAGAGGAATCTGGATTTCCTACAAATCCTATTCTTTATGATTCGTTTCATCGGTTATTTCTTAAATATATATTTTAAAATTAGAGATATTTTTTGGATATTTCTTTTTCGTTGATCTACTGCGTTGGATGGAAAAACACCACGCGATTCTGCATGGATCCACGCCACTTAGATCCCGAGCAATCGAGCGAACAGAACGAGGGAAGGTTTTTCGTTATACACCGCGACAATACGTAGGGACGTATAAGCGCGACGGTGAACGTGAAATAAAAGCTTCTCTTTTGATTTGGTCCCATGATAGGTAGCCGGCATGAATTGTGTCAAGTCGATGTACCGATCGATCGATCAACGCGGGGTCTCTCAAAAACACGGACACGGGGATTCAGAACTCGATTTAAATAGTGCACGACGAATCGTTTCGAAATTGTAACGATTTCATAAATCTGATATACCGTGAAATTGGCCACGAATACCAATGCTTGTTGAATTTCTGAATGGTGTACAAGTTGTATTCAGTGATTTAAGGTACTCTTCAGAAAGTCTCGACCGCTATCGACTAACGAAGAATCGAACGTAATTTCGTCCAACTATTAAACAACGGTACTGAACTTCCTTAGATTCGTTAATGGATAGAAAAAAGATCTCTTTTTTTAACGATTTAAAGATTTCTTTTTTTTTTGTTGTATTTGTAAATTTGTAATATTCACGACCTCAGTAGATTAATACAAGTTTGATAAAAATCCAACGTGATTTCTTCGTGAGCAATTTCAAAAGGTCCCAAAGTTTCTGTAAATCTGCTAATAGAAGTATACACGTTAAAATGGACATATAAAAGAGATTCAGTCGGCTAGGCTTATCGTCTACGATCTTAACTTCGTCAATTTGATTTTTCGTACACATTAATATACTAAGATCGTGATTATTTTTTGTTTTTCTTTCGGAAACGATTTAAAATGTTCGCTTGGTGGAAGCAAGTTCTGAATACAAAACACCGTGTGATCCCTCCGGATGGGGTAGTTTTTTTTTCTCTCGAAGAACTGGAAGGTTATTTCCTCGGCTACTCGACTTCCTGTGTTCAGAATATTTGTTTCACTTTTATTTATACGTTTCTCCGCGCGGCAATACGTGTCGCCTAAAATTCTACTAAATAATTTTATGTTATTTCGTCGCGCGATTTCGTTCCTCCATTATTATACGTACAATATATATATATACTTCTTTAAATATATATATATTTAATATATTCATATAATCTATCGCCCATACACTACCTTCGTGTAATCATCGACGATATCTAACAACTTGATGGAAGGGTGTCGATCGAATCCGTTCGTCGACACATTTTGATTATACATTTGGCCTGGGCCTGAGCAACCCGCGCGAGTACCTTCACGATTGGACATGTTTCGAGTCGCTAAAACAATCGATTCTCTCGATACAGTAATATAATTAGTTGTACCAGAAAACATTAGAGACCTTAGTCATCAGCACTCTAAGTCTACAAGTCTTCAATGATCTCAGAGTTTCAAGTATCCTCGAAATTCTCGAATTCTAAAGTTCCCAGAATTTGCAATTTTAAAATCTTAAAAACACAGAGTTTTAAAATCACCGAATTTCGAGAACCTAGAACTCTACAAGTGCAGGGGCTTAATGTTCCACAGTCCCTAGATCCCAAGGGTTCACAAAGTGTCGAGTTCCATGATGCTAGAGATCCAGAAATTCTGTAGAATCCAGAGGATCTAGAACTCTATAAGACCCAGGAGCCTAAAGCGCCAGAGATATATAGAGTCCTATGTTTCCAAACGTTTTCAGATTGTCAAGTTCCATGATTCCAGGGACCTAGAAGTTCTGAAGAATCCCGAAGACCTAGAATTCAATAAGCCTAGAAGCCTAAAGTTCCATAGTTCCAGAGTCCTAAGTTCCCAAAAGTTCTCAGATTGTCAAGTTCCATGATTCCAGAAACCTAGAAGTTCTATCACTCTACAAGCCCAGGAGCCGAATGTTCGAGAATCCTAAAGCTCTAGGTTCCCAAAGGTTTTTAGATTATCGAGTTCCATGATTCCAAAGACCTAAAAGTTCTAAAGAATCCCGAGTACCTAGAACATTACAAGCCCAAGGACTTAAAACACTCAGATTATTGAGTACCATGATTTCAGAGACCTAGAAGTTCTGAAGACTTAGGGGTCTAGATTTCTGACAAAGATTATTCGCGACTGAAAACTTAATCATCGTGGGAACGCGATCCTCGTTGTTCAAATGCGGTTCACCCGGTCCAGTTGGTGACGTACGAGACGCCCGAATATCGTGCTGCTTTTGATTTCCGTGTATTTCATTCGACCGAGAATTATTCTTGAAGAACCTCGCGATATTTCCACGGCCGTCTGGAAGGCACAATCTCGACGAACGTGGCTTTTTTCTTGCCGGTACGCTTCGTACGCCATCTGCGCGGCGATCCTCCGTAATCGTTCGAAGTCCTGTCCGCGTGGATTCCTTGTACAAATCGGAAGTTAATCTACTGTTCCTCGACCAAAAAGGGGACAATTCATCTAACGTCATTAATCGCGATCCGACGAACTATGTATAGTATTCACTGTGGTTCCACTAAAACACGTTTGGTCACCGAATATACAACGCACGAATCAAGATGGCGTCCTCTCCCTGTACAGAAATCCGTCGTCGACTCGTTCGACGACGTAGAAAAGTTAATTCGATCCTAAATAAAACCTAGACGCGATCCACGTCCTTTCGCTGATCCCTTTCGCGGGCCACTTTCAGACAATTCTTACTATCGCCTAGAAACCGAACGCGTGAACACAAAAATAACCCCACGTTACTCGTTTAAACGCACTCGTAATTCGATTGTACGTAATTCGGAAGAAGAGCTGACTCGGCTCCTGCTTCTCACGGAAATCATTGAAAATTTAAAACCGTATAGCAAAAGTTCTATCCGTAACGATATACAAAAAGGATTCGCATCGCACACTGGCTCACACGTTTCTTTGCACACAATCGAAAAAACAATGAACACAACTGTCACCTTCTTAACCGGTTACTTTCGATATTTGTCCCTCTATCGGTCACTTCGCTTAATTCTTACGCCCGAAAGGAAACACTGTATACCATCTGCGCAGCACATAAATAAATTTCCGAGTCAATATAATAATAACAACTTTGATTGTTTCACAATAAAGTATCGGAATGTCTGCACGCGAATGCACGTTTAAAGAAACGTACAATCGTTTCCTGACATTGCACACTCGTCCATCGTATCGCGGTTAGACTAGAGATATACATACTTTACACACCTTGGACGCAACATTACAGTTGTTTGATGCTTTTTCAGAGACCAGCGTTTCCCGAAGCGAAGTTCACCCATTCGGACCTTCTTTGCACCGTTCGGATTTATGTTGTCGTGGTTGAAGAAACGGTTCATAAACTTTCTAATACACTTCAATTTTAACAAACAGAACTCACAAGTTTTCGTCCGGATTATCAAACGTGATCAAACGGTCCTTGACTCTCTGAGGCGTCCTCTCCACGGAAGAGCTCGCGAGCTATTGCGCCCGCCACCCCCCTCCAATCCCGCCAAACCTTAGTCCCTTGTTTTCATGGGGACCAAAATATCTACATTCATGAGCATAGGGACCAAACAGAATTTTTTTTCTTTTTAAGGCGAAAAATATCGCAACTGTCTCCCTCACTCTATTGCACGGGGAGGGGATTTACACGACGTAAATGCAGACTGTTCAAATTCGAAATGTTGGATAATAAGCTAACCAGGGAAGACGAATGAAGATAACCTCTTAATCGGCACACTTTTCGACAGAAGCGTTACTTACAAGGGAAACTACAGAAGTGTCCCCCTCCGATTTTGATGAAACTTCGTATGTCTGTTAAACAGTCAAAAATAAGGGCTTCTTTTTTTTTTATCGCTTAAGACGCGACTTTAAGGAATGAAACCACCCCTCGAAGTTTCGACCCGAAAGTACTATCTCGAAAACCAGAGGAGATACATGAAAACTTCTAATGGACGAGGTTTGCGGTTTTTTATGTAGAATAATATGGTGCTAACAAATTGTCCAAAAAAATTTCGGATTGAATGAGTTTATATCGATTCTATATCTACCAACTGGCCTCTACTATCTGACAATTGAAAATTCCTTGAATTTGTAGAATCAAGTCAAATATAAGTATCTTATCTAGCCGAAGCTTCTGTTTGATTGCCTGCGGCGTGTATCCAACGGTTGCTGGGACTCTTTGATATTTGCCGCGAGTCAGCAAATCGACCGTCAGTTCAGCGGATAAAGAGGAACGATTAAAAGCCGAACCGCACGTGTTAAATCAGATTTGACTGTGGGGAAACAAAAAAGTTCCTTGTTTGTTCAACCGACAGAAGATAGGTAAAAATAAGGCAAACAGCCAATCCGTATTACATCTCAATAAACGTTCCAAGAAATACCATAGCTCAGAACGTCAATTAATAAGATTTTATATTAAGGATGCAGCATAATAAAACTGATACTGCAATGACTCGATGATAATTGTTCCTGCAATATATTCATATTCTAAATTCAACACGCACACAATACGGCGAAATTTCAGGAATTTCCGTGATCTTTACAAAAACCGTTGGATTCCTAACTTAAAACATGCATTTTTATATTCTACTCGTCGAATACCACCAGGAAGTTACAAAAAAAAGGTTGATAATTTTTAGTCCGGCAAAGTAAAGTTTAACCACAGTTTTTTTTTTGCATTAAATTCATGAATATCATATAATTTTAGAGCTGTCACAGAATCATTCTTAACTCGTCCTCGCCGGTTAACAGGTTAAAAATGTGAAAAGGCCACAGAAGCGTTGCCACGAATCGACATTAAATCATAACGGTTTTACAGTTCCACAAACGACTGAGTGTACTCGATCGGAAAACGCTTAGGCCCCACGAAAGGGTTGACAATTCCCTCTTAAATTTCGCTACCTACCGCGTCCACGTGAGGACTGTGCCAACGAGGCGTGGTCGGCTGTCCGCAGTACATACCGATCGGCGTAGGCGCGACAAGGTCGTTGTTCGACTCATCGAAACCTGCCTCCTCGTTGTCGTCGGCGTCGAAGCTCCTCACGGTGGTCGTCGCGGTCGCGGTCACCGCGGCGGTGTTGTCGTGCGTCGTCGCTGCGACAGCGGATCCGTTCACTTCCGGTATACGATCTGTACTTACGTCGGCCGATTCCGTGTCTGGGACCTCCACACCTCCGCCACTCTCGCCCACCATGTTCACGAAGAACTCCGACCTGGAGAACCTGCCGATCTCCGTCGAGCCGAACGCCTGATGAAAACCGGGCAACGGTTGCTTGCTCACGGACTTCTTCTTCGGCTCAATTCTATCCGCAGAACGGCGTTCCTTGTCACGTGGCATATTCGTTTCCTGTCCAAAGTTGAGGAATTGTTAGAGAAATTGTTCAATGGTTCAAGCATCGACGAGGTATAGCATATACATGTCATCTCGCGGGACTTGGTCAATTTAATCTGATTTAGCGACCTCTAATCGTATAGTTATTTCCCTCGTTCCTTGTTTTAAGCATATTTTCCATATTTTTACGGCAGACCACAATTTTCTCTAGCTTCAAGTCAACGCCTGGTACACTGTGCCGCCCTGTGTAAACATCTTACCGTATTCGGTGCTAAGTTATCCATAGAAATTCCATTGTTGATGGTGTTCGGTTCCCACCTGGGTCCCTCATCCTCGCGGCGAGTCCTCTGCGCGGATGCAGAATCCACCATATTGTCGACGGACGATTCGAGTAATCTTGGCATCTGCAATTAGTTACCGCGTTTCCGTACAAATATTCGTTACTATACAGATTTCTGTAGCATTTTCTAATTCCTGAATCTCGAATGACCAGAGACGGACAAGATTCCATTAGAATGAATTTAATATAAAGGCTCGTTTGCAATGTCTGTGTGTCTTTTGAAGATATTGTCTGGGCGAACTTGCGTCGAAAACTTAGAACATCTCTGGACATAGAGGTTATGCAAATTAGAGAAAGGGGAGACCTGATGCTCGGGGGATGAATATGACGCTCGCACGTTCTCCACGTCGAGTTTATTCGGGGCGTACGTTAACCGTCCTGACTCCTCGGCGAACCCGCAATGTCTGCCGGTCAAACGATCCCGCAGCAGAACGGTATGTCGTGGTCCGCGAACTCCCATACTTCGTGGCATAGTTGGAACGTCTGGAAAAATAAATCCAGATATCGATAATTTTATAAATTTTCAGACCCAAAACTGGTCATCAATAATGAAAACTTTACCAAGCACAAATAAAATTCATAACTTTCTTTGGGTAGAGAATTAATCATTTGAACGTTCTGATAGCTTATGTATATACATGGGCGTAGCTAGGTCAAGAGGGGAGGGGGCAATGTAATTTTTTCCTTCGGGAAGGGTGGGGGCAAAATCCAATTTTTTCTTTTTGAGTAGTGCAAACGCCACTTCTTTGGCTAGGACCATGTGTAAATATAGAATCCATCATTTTCTCTTTGGTAGAGTAATAACTAGACTGCGGATTTTATGTATTTATAGCGTATTCAGTTGTTGGAAATACAATATAGTAAGGAGTTTAATAAGTTCTAATAAAAGTCTCACTTCATGTGGCAGTTGATAGAACTTTTGATACAGTAAAACAGTTTCTGCTTGTTTCTAGTTTTCATAAATACATCTTTAAAGATTGCTATTTGCATAAAGGTTCGTAGTTGAAGAATAAGAAGTCGAGGGACCTGGAAGTTTCTGTAACCACTTGGAGAGTTTACTGGAGAATTGTAATGTTCTAGCGTAAAGTAAAGTCTACAAAATTTGTTTATCCTGAAAAACTTACGCGGCAATACGCCGTGACAAAATTGGCCCCATGGTCCGTGTCCGTGGGAACTCGGACTCTGAACGTTTGGATGAAGTATCGCACCCATCTGAGAAGGGTGCGACGCCCTGGGATGCTGATGAGAGCCTCCACCGTTCTGCAATGGATCAAACTTATAACTCGATGCATCAACAAACCTGGAATACTAAGTACACCAATAAGATCAGCCATTCTTCGCGACGAATCGCAAACCAATACTGTTTCTATAATCGTTTTCAAACACTCTTCACCATTTGAAATTCAAATCACAGTAGCAATTGAAAGAGCAAACAATGGATGAATTATTCGTGGTCTTAATATAATTTAGATATTGGAAGATATACAGATGGCAGCACATGCAATGTTGCTCGTCTTCTGCGAATAAATACGAACAAACACAATCTGACGCATTTTGCTCTGCAATAAACAAGAATAAAACTTAACTAGCACTGATGTACAAGTGTTCCAACATGATTGAACGAGAGATTCTAGGGGTAAAAAAATTTCAATTGCAATTTTTCATCACTTAATTTACATTATTGAATCCAATGTCTAACATTGTGGTTATGAAACGGAATTCCAGGGATTTCCTCAACAATTTTTCCGTCGCTACTACTTGAATAAATACTTTTGCAATGAATAAAATATTTTACATATAAAAATCCTATAACTTCACTGCTTGGTCCATAACGGATTAAACAGGTCAACGACAGAGGACATTTCACGCGCAGCTGTCTCAATTTTTATCTCAACCCAGCCGACGTTACTTGATAAGGGTGCCATTTCTGGGCGTCGGTGAAGTCACCGTACTCCGCGATGCTCTCTTGTCGACGGAGCTCCCTTTCCCTGTTCACATCATTGAAGTCAACGGAGTATCCTCCAGCAGGGAACGTGGCGGCGCAATCTGCGTTCACGCCACCTGTTTGACCGCTCCTGATCGCCTCCTTGCACTTGTCCAGGCCACGCTGGTGCATTCCTCCGCCGCCCATCGCTTGCAGCCGGTCGATCGGCTCGCCTACGCTCCCGTACCAATCGGCCATACGCGGCGAATGGATCGGTTTCGGTCGCGGGGCCGTCTGGAACCACGGCTCCGTGACACGATCGGGCTCCAGGGGCTGGTTGATCGGCAACCCAGAGGCAGAGACACAGCCGAAACGGTGTTGCTGGTGGTCCAGAAAACCAGCAGAGGCGACTGGGCCGGCGATCACACCTGCCCTTGCGATCGCGCTTTGGAGGATCGATCGTCGGGATAGCTCGCGGCTCTGCTCACGCATTGCTTTACGTATCCTCGCCTCCTTTGGATTGTACACGTAATCTGTGGAAATACGTAACGATGTAGTTGTAGCCGAGGTGTTTGAAGGTGTTTGAACTGCTGGGCGAGATGTTCAAACGGTTCCAAACAGCGTTTAAGTGTTTTCGAAGAATTCAACTATTTTAATAAAGATCGAACATTATTTGGAACTGTTTGAAAGTTTTGTGCTTGAAGAAATCCAGACGTGTCCGAACGTATCTAAAAGCGTCATCCTGACCTTTAAACAGTTACATAACGAGATTAAATAATTGTTTCCCAAGTGTATATTCATTCAAGAAGAAGTATTACTTCGCTACAAAGATTGGAATTTCCACGTTTAATCGATGAAAAATCGCGAAATACTTTTTTATCTTCTATTCATTATTGGAATCTCCTAATCTAGATAATGAATTTGCCTATCTCTGCTCACAAATATGCGTTTTTCCGTTATTTATTATTCCGCGATATTCCTATTATTATTATGTGTCGTTATGATAACAACGGGGGAATATCTGTTTGTTTGTTTTGCGCAGAATAAACAAAGAGAAAGCGAAGAGGAGACAGTATGGTAGCGTTTCGTAACAAAATATCCCTCGGAGAGAAGCCACCATGGTGGCGTTTCGTCCGCGAAAAATCATTTAACGGAAGCTACTGTAGGGGCGTGTGGTACCTAAAGAATTAAACTTGTTTTCCTTTTATGGTGGTTGATGAGGAACTGTGTTTGCAACTGGATAAGAGACAGAAAATCGTACCTGGGTGGGTAGTCTTTTGAAAAAGACAATTTTTTTACAGGGATTCGCAATTTTACGTATTTTTATGGCTTCATGCTAAACGAAGTATATTAGAGATTCTACTTGTACGAGATCGTTATTATCGGTATTAGCAGTCGATCATAATTTTATACCCAAAAATTAAAACTGTCATTGGCATAGCGTTATTGTACTCTGGAAAAGTGGTTATAGTCGCTTTTAACACATTCGCTACTACAAAATACAGATTAGATACAATCACGGTTTTGTATTTCGCGTGCGATAAGTCAATGTCGTGTACACTGATATCTAAAGTCGTAATACATGACGCAACATGGTTGTTACACATTTGTTCAATATATCGTAAAGAAGATACACAGTGCTGAAGACAGTGGTAGCAAACGTGTTAATGCTCAAAAATCATTTTTTTCTTTGGTATCCCTTGATTTCACTCGTGAGAAACTCTACCATAATGAACCCATAATTAACCCTGATATATTCAAAATTATTTTTCCTTTAAGTATATATTTTTTTTCATAACATTGTGCTATTTAATATTGCGCAAAATATTTTATAAGAAATCATTGAATTTTTAGTGTGCTATGTAATCATTTTTAGTAATCAGGACCACCTATTATTCAACTGTACAACATGAAAAACAATACCATAAAGGCACTTGTTAAGGTGCGTATTTATTTGTTGCGACCCTCGTATAGTAACACCACACATTTTCATACGCAACGATGCAATGCTTGCCTGTCCACATTGATGCATGCGAGGATACGTAACAAGTGGATACGCAGCTTTAGGTATCCTTATAGTAGGACAGTGGACATATTCGGGTTAACAACAATCACGCCTACCGACATATATAAATTTCGAAAAAGAAGATGGAAAGCAGCATCAACAAATTCGTTCCCCTGAAACTCTTAAAAACAATCCAATTCCACCGTACTACAGATTCCTCTACGTTAACTGCACGTCTAGCTTTCACGCAGACGCGAAAGATGCACCGTTTGCCCTCTTTAGAAGCGCCCTCCACCGACATGACTAGACGCTTAATGTTCGCTGGTACGTTGAGGACTTTATCGTAAACGGGACGGTGGAGCTTTAGGAATTACCAACTGTTTTCGTTCGACGTCTGAACACTTGCTGCCGAGGAGCTTTCGTACACTCATCGAAAATTTACTGTATAGACTATAAATGCATAACATTCGCAGTCTACGGACTATCATCGTTAGAAGACACTCTACTCCAGTGGTTTTTAACCGGTATTCCGTGAAATATTAATGTCCCGCGAAATTATGAAGGTTTATAAACCTTAATCAAGGATTGAATATTTAATCAAGCTACGTTCGTGCATATTTGCATCGTTAGTTTCATAACTTTAGTAATTATTCCTGAAATTTCTCTTACAGTCTAGTTCATGTTCCAATACAACAAGGTTAAAAACCACTGGTCCACTCTACCAAAAATAAAATCAACCTGGACAATCCTCCAACCATCCAACGATATCTACCTGTGCTGTACCCAGGCGGCATCGGTCCGCTGTACCTTTGATTACCCTCGATCCCCCCAGCGATCGGCGGTGGTTCGTATCCGTTATACCCCTGATTCACGTTATCATAACAAAAGTAGTGTTGCTGCTGATAAAAGTGACCCCCTCCCGCGTATGCCTCGACGTAGTTGCAGCAGTCCATCTTGACACCCAACAGAAGGGGCCCTATATCTCGACGCAACCTCTTCTCTCTCTATTCTCGTAGATATCAGCCGTTTGCAGTTTCACGGAACCAATACAATATCCTCGACCAACAACACCCAGCTCGTATTTGAACAACGCTATTAGAACAATCTTACTAGAGTCCACGGAATCTCTATCCGTGGTACCAATCGTACAATCGCTAGATCGGCTCGCCTGTTTCCGGCGATACCACCCACTCTGTCCTCCACGCCTGGCCGCGGTCGGTCGCGACGGTGGTGCATAACGGGCAAATCGAATTCACGCGGTGATTGTACCAGCCGCGTGGAGAAGGAGGGTAGCGGCGGTGAATCGGGTGGCGTTCGATCGTGGCCCCAGCATTCCGTCGGGAAGACCCAGCGTTCGTCGTTCTATCGCTCGTCCAACCGTCATTTTACACGGCGACGTCGTTCTTGTCCTGGTCGCTGTCGTCATCACTCGTCGGACCCAACGGAACAGCCGTTAGGCAACTAACTGTAGCACCTGGATGGCCGATCGTGTCTCCAGGGCCAAGCTAACCGCCGATCCTGCGGTGCACACGATTCGACGTATCCGGCCGACCACGTCATGGTAGGCTCCGCCAGCTAGGGAGGGTAGTAGGGCTAGACGGCTGCTAGCCGGCTACGCACACCCAACCGCCTTCTTTCTCTGTCGATCCTGACGTGTTTTTACTGGTGTTGTTGATGACACCAAGGCGCTAGGTGATGTCACATGGGGTGGGGGCCGGTTCTGGCGACGATCAGCGAGCGAATATGTTGGATTGTCCGGTGACAATTCGTGGGGACTATTGGTCGACGTCAATGGAGACTTGGCTTACGTCACAGTGATCATCCATTCGATGCTAGAGCAGATGTTTAGGGGAGTTGTTGTTGGGTTTGATGTCTGTCGAGGTGAGTTTGAACTTGGTTTATACCTGGAGGTCTTGATGGAAGTTAATATTTATTGGTTGTGTACCTGGAGGTCTTGGTGGAAGTTGATGATTATTGGTTGTACACCTGAAGGCTTGGTGGAACTGGATGATTATCACTGTGTACCTGAAGGTCTTGATGGAACTTTATTATTGATGTATATTTGAAGGTCTTGATGGAAGTTGATGATTATTGGTTGTATACCTGAAGGTCTTGATGGAGCTATATTATTGGTTGAATACCTGAAGGTCTTGATGGAATTTGATGATTATCCTGATTCGAGCTGTTTAGATCTGACGCAGATTTTTGTCGATATCGTCTTGTAGAGATGCAATGTGGTTTGGTCAGCTCTTAAGGTTCCTCGGTGGTTGCTTTTACGATTGATCATCCAGTGTTTTGTTTCGTGGAGACTGCTGCAATGTTTACAGAGGGGTTCGATTAAATCGATCGTGACAGATTCATCGGTGCAGTTTCGTACGCGGTATTCGTGCTTTTCCTTCTTTTCAATAGTTCGTAAAACCTCGATAACTAACCACCCTTTGTGACAAAACTGATAGATCCCTGTGTCCTTGTGGGACCGTTTTATTTGCCAAATTTTACGGAATGTTTGTTACCAGAGTACGTCAACAAATGGAATTTCTAACTTTTAGTGTTCATATTGTCTCTCTGGAGTCCCCTAATTGGACGAAACACTGCCACTTTTTTTGTTTAACACTCGACAAAATTCGGTCTCAACTGTTCACGTTCTATCTTCTCGAATTGTTTACAATGTATCTTCAGTTACGAAAGGACGAACTGGAATTTCCAATTTTTCCAAAAATTCAATCTAAAACTATTCCTCTGATCCGTCTGTTTACCACCCGTCACGCGAGTCCATTAATACACCAGGTTCTCTACAATGTCCATTAACTCATCGAAAAAGATTTAATTATCAATTTACTTTCCCCTTACTACTTCCCCCAATTTACTTTCCCCTTTTCCTGTTCCCACTGAACCGTTTAACAAAAAAAACACATAACATACAACTACGCCTGCGACTCAACCGTTCGCCAACTCCCACCCTACGAGAACGTATTTATTTACCAAATCCCCTGCACCCCGCATCACCGTCGAACATTCAACCTCCAATTTCCCTTCCAGTCGTCGAGCATCCGGAAAAACACGCTCCAGCACAACCTCTTTGCCCTCTGTATGATTCAACCCCCCATCGTTTCATCCCCTATTCGCCAACTGTTCTAGTACAATTCCAACAATATTCACGAAGAATCTACTTTCGTTATCCACCAAGAATAAATTTCCATTCTTCAACAAAATTTCCCTCGTACACAGAATTTCCCTTCCCCGAACCCCCCCCCCTTGAAGAAACATACGTGGCTACCACCCTAGCTCTCAACCCCCCAATGTATCTCTATTATGTATCCTACAATCACAACGGAATATCTCCGCTCACAACCCGCTTGACCCTCGCGCGCGATTTTCCAAGCTCCTCTCTTTATGTTTACCCGTCGTCGTCGCGCGCTCCGTCCGACGACCTATTTCCGCGGCCGTCCCCACGGTATCTGACGCTCTGCGAAACGGATCACCACACACACACACACGCACGCACACATACACACACATACACAGAGGACAGTGAGAGAATGTAAGAGTAAGAGAGAGAAAGGCGCGCGTGCCGCAAGCGGGAACCGCAGGCCGCGCACGGGAGAGACCCGCCGTACCGTCCTCGCGGTGCACTCCGGTCGCACTGATTTCGCGACGGCGCGCGCGGCAGCACCGTGCACACGTCGCCCGACGAATTTACGTGCGTTTCGTCATCGACGCGTCGGACGCGCCGTGGCGGCGGCGGCGACGATGGTGTGCACGGGGCCGCCGGAGGGGGAGGGGCGTGGGGGGGGGTGAGGTGGCCCAGAGCGATACTATCTCTATCTTTCACTCATTGTATGTCTCTCTCACTCACTATCTATGTCTCCCTCTATCATTCACTAGCTATCTCTCTCTCACTCATTCGGTATCTCTGTATATATATTTCACTTGGTATCTGTCTCTCTCTCTGTTTGTATCTTTCGCTTCGTATCTCTCTCTATCTTTTACACGTTACCTGTTTCTCTCACTCGTTATCCCTCTCAATCTTTCTATTTTTCACTCGCTGTCTGTCTTTCTTTCTAGCTATCTCTCTCTGTCTCTCATCCTTTCGCTATCTCTGTCTGCCCCGTCTCGCCCTGCGCGGGAAATAAAGAGACAATCCTCCGTTCCCGTCGCCTATCGATTCCGTGTCGTCGTCGTCGTCGTCTCCTCCTTGATCCTCGCGGAATCTTTTCCTCGCCGGACCGAACCCTTCCGTGACGTGGCGGCGGCGTCAGCGGCGGTGGCAGTGGCGGTGGTAGTGGCGATCGAAGGCGGCGCGCGGACTCGTTTCGGAAGCTGATCGATGTACCGTGTTATTCTTGCCGGCGTCCCTCACTCTCTGCCCAGCCCCCTCCCGCCCTCACGCCCCCAGGGGCGGGGGGGTGGGGGACACCCATCGATTCGCAGCCGGCGGCTTGTTCGAACCGAGCGCAGTTTCGACGATCCGGTTAAATGGATCGCTCTCGGCCGCTGCTGCGTGCTTTGGTCTCACCCCCCCTTTTTTCCTCCGACTCCTCTCCCCCCACGTCCTCTCCTCCTTCTCCGCCTCTCGCGGAACTGTCGTCACACCCACATCGGTTTGAATTCTGTTTTTTTTCATTTTTTGCCGCTGGGGATGGAGAGCCTGTAAAAAATTCGGATTCGTCGTTATTGGTGGGGTTATTTTTGATTTGTCGAGTCGTTCGGGAGGAGATTGCTTGAAATGGTGGTGGTTTTGTCGATTTTTTCAACGACTTTTTTCAGGTCATTTTGAGAATGGGTTTGTAACTTGGTTCAACGGCGTCGGGGGACATATGTTGCGAGTTACAGGTACGAACATAGTAAGAATGATTTTTCCTGGGTTTTAGATAGTGAGATCGGTGATTTCTTTGGATCAATATGGTACAATATAGAAGCACTTTTTTTTCGAAATACCAATATAGTGAAAGAGTTTCATAACAACCTTCCAGTTCTCCAAAATCTTGTTCAAGAGTCAACACAAGTCCTTGTAGAATAAATGAACCGTCATTGATGCTCGGAGCGCTACCTACACTGCCGCCAAAAACTTTCAAACCGCTCGAACAAATCTAAGCACAGTAAGACACCGTGACGTCCCATAGACAAAAAATGACCCAGTCAAAGCTAAAATTACAAATTACTTCACGAGGAAGAAAGAGAAACTTCGTATTTTCACCTTTCAGAACCTAATGGCGCAAGACCAGAAAATGTCCCCGTCACTTTCACCATTCTATAAAACGACGTACACATGTTGAAGTAGACATATGTTATTATTTTGATGTCAAAAATATCGATATTAAACCAAAAATTCTTTAATAATTTTGAACCAAATATTTTCTTCCGACGAAATAAATAACACTTCTACCTCATCTGTATTTTCATGAAAAAAAACCTGAAAACATAATTTTACTAGATATGACATATACGTCACACTGAGCGTTAAAAGAGACGTACCAATGAGACCAATAGATCATTGACGGTTGTACCTGCATTCTCCACAATTTCACCTGCAAAACGAATGGAACCAATGACACTGAAACGATTTCGACCCACGGGCATCACAAGAAGCGACATCCACGCGTCCACGAAGAGGAGAGCCGTGCTTCGACGTGGCTCGTTTTCTCGAGCGACCGAGCGTCGCATTGATGCGATAGCGGATCGATGACCGGCGATCGTTACAGACGCCGAGGAACAGAAGGAGAGGAAACTCCCCTTCACTCCTCCTACCCCACTTCGCTCCTCCCCCTCTTACAGGCGTGTGTCTTCGGCTCGACGTGCCACCTGGATGCACGGAGAGAGAGAGAGAGAGCCACGACATTTTGACGGCTTCCCTTGGCGCGGCCGAGCCTAGCCGAGGAGTCACCCCTCTACGGGCACGTCACGCGTGCGATGCAGTCGCGCAGATGCACGCGAGATCCGGTACGCGTTCTCTCGAACGCTCCCGCGCAGACCATATCGACGCTTCCCGGTGATCTTAATTGACCACTCGGGCTTGCTCGCGCCGAGCGCGACCCTCTAGCCAACCAACCCCCTCTCTACCTTCTTCACCTGCCTCCCCCACCTCCTCGATTGCACGGACAGCGTTTAGTGGGGAATTTAGCTTGGATCTTTGCACCCCCCTCGAACTTTCAGCTGGAGGTGGCTATCGCTGACGATGAGAAACCGTTTAACGGCTCGCGATCCTCCATCCCTTCCTAGCGATTTCTGATCCTTTGGAATTCAACTTTCAAGTTGAACGTTGGAAACGATATTTGGAGCCGTGGATGCTGGAACACATGTCGATCGATTGGTTCGGGTGCCCTGATTTAGCGTGTTTAGGGGGTGGTGGTTCTAGGATGAAAGTTTTTGGATCTTTGTGACTATTCTGCTGGAGGTGGATATTGTTGACGATGAAAAACCGTTTAACAAATCGCGATCATTCATTCCCTAGCGACTTCTAATTCTTTGGAATTCAACTTTGAAGTTGAGTGTTGGAAATGATATTTTTGAAACCGTGGATGTTGGAAAACATGTCGAGCAATCGTTTCGATTGTCCTGATTTATCATGTTAGGGGGTAGTGATAGTAGCTTTTGGATCTTGGTGATAAGTCGGATCTTTTCGCTGGAGGTGGTTATGATTGATGATGGGAAACCGTTTACCAGATCGCGATCCTTCCTCCCCTAGCGATTCCTGTTCCTCTAGAATTCGACGTTGAATTTGGAAGTTCAAAACAATGTATGGACCCTCGACTATCCGAACATCTGTGGTCCAATTGCCTTGATTACCCTGATTTATCGTGGTTAAAGATGATATGGCCGCAGGACAACAGTGCCAGAGGATAGCTTCTGATGGTTAGTGTCTAGGGATGTCACTAAAAGAAGCATAGAAATGAGGAATATTAATTTCAAAGCAATTCTACTGTGTTGTTATGTGATTTAGAACAAATGTTGGATGTGTTTGTTATGAGGATACAGTATAATTGTACTGAGTCCATTGTCTTCTAGTATTGGACTTGATAAGATATGGTACTGGGATATTGAAAACTCCGCAAGAAACGGAAGAGACTTGTTACGAAATCAGATTTATGGATCCAAAAATCATAACTTGATAAATACAGTCACAGTTTTGAGAGAATTATTCTGCAATGTTGAACAATTAAATGATTTTCTACAATATTGAATAATTAAATTTTTCCGTTTCCCATAATTAATTAAACAGATTTAGAATGATTTACGCGAGCTGGAAGTAACAATTTCACCGCGTCGATTACACTTTGATCCATAAATATTTTCTAATTAGTACAAAATTCCGAGTGTTTTTCCCTTATGTTTCGCGATCGATCGTGCCGTGTACATGATAATGAGAAAGGGTACGCGATTAGGTTAAGAGCGAGGCGATCGATCCTTCTAATATACAATTACTATCTGCGCTCTGGTGTATCGGTTCATCTACAGGGCTCGTGGATTATTCCCAATTAATTAAAACAGTTAGAACCGTCGAACGTGCGTGTCCCCGCACACCTCCTCCCACCTCCCCACCCACTGTATTACTCAATTCACGTCACCGAAACGACGTCGACAGATCAAAACGCAGAAACGTAATCAAAAGGAGGATCGATTAACGACCGTAATACCCGGCTATACTAAATACATGTAACGATGAATCAAACGTAACGCGATCAGATATCCACAATAACACCAAACGAACAGAAAACTTTCTTATCTCTAAATCTCATCGATAAATTCTATAATAACGAAAAGAAGCTACGACTTAATTCTACTTTTCGACTTAATAGTGTTCTCAATTTTTAAACACTTTTCTTTGTAGAGATTTACACATTTGAGAACAATACAAAGAAAATATTATTCATCAATATATATGTGTCTTTTATTCTTCCACAATATGTCAACACGTTCGCAGCCGTCGACGCTATCCCATATCTTCTGATAAACCATAGCTGGATGCAGCTCGCACCCTAACTGTGATAAGATCCCCGCAAAATCCACCCACAGATTTAATTTCATTTTATTCAGCAAAACGTGATAAAAAGTACCATCTATAAATCTGTGAAACGTGCGCCAAAACCATAGCGAATTTCCCACCATCCGCCAACTATAACCTCACACCATGGAAAGAACTCCTATTAACCCTCGAATGACGGATATTCAAGCACCGCATTTTGACCTACAATAAAAGTTCCGATATACAGTGATTCCTCGATGAATGCGACATGAATAAACAGAAGCTAAGCAGAGGCTCGGCTTCAAGCAAAAAACAAATTTACGAGGGTCTGAAAACCTTTCCGCCTTCCCACGAATGCTCCGAAGCCTTGCACTCATGGAGACATTACTGTATTTACTCTAGAATAAGGTCCTGTATTCAATTTTAAATAAATTATTTCGCCAAACTGCTTCTTTCAAATGATATTAAAACTTTGCTGGCGGGAGGTTTTAACTTATTGTATTATAGCCTGTATTTATAGCATGCACAAAACTAAAAATATTTAGAGACTACTACTTAACTTTTACTTCTCAAATTTTGCGTATAGGAAAACCAATTTGTCCCTATTGTTTACTATTTCCAGCTCTTGTTTTTAAAAACACATACCACCACATAAACCGTCCCCACCATTCCTTTCCAAAAACACGCCCCACTACGTCATCCGACATCAAAGTGTCGATTAATCTAAACCGATTATTCACATTACTACAGTTACAACAAGCGGAACCGAAAATGCCGCTGCATTCGTTATCCAAGGATTAATTCAATCAACAATTTTTCCTCTTATAAACAGCTCGTCAACCCCTCGATCCTCCCATCCCAATTCATCGAACCCTTTAAATCTCCCCCGAAAAGAGGGGATGATATGGATTCTTGCACGTTTTGTCGCGGCTAAATTCCGTTTATTAGCCAAGAGGGAGACCTCGATGGTGGATGTAGAAGAGGAGGGGGGGGAGGGGATGGAGGACCGATCGCAGGGGAGCTAAAATGCGATTACAGCTCGTCGATTTGCGGGCGGGTTGGCAGAGCGATACGAGTTTTGCGGGTCGAGGTACAGGGCGCACAGGGTGGCAAGCGGAGAAATATTCTCGGGCTGAGTGACGGTGGGTGTACCGTCACGGAGAGGAGGGGGAGAGGGCAGGGGGATACCTACTACCTACACCCCCACCCACCACCGACGTCGCCGACAAGCGCGATTATTCCTCCGCGTATATCCCCGCGCCGTTACTGAGCATTCACGCGGCTAAATGTTCTCCGCGGGGGCTAACAGCCTGGACCCACCCCCCACCAACCCCTCTCACGCATCGTGCGAACGGGGACCACGGTTGGAAAATCGCAACTGGGGAACAATGATGGATCTTTAATTGGTAGCCCCGTGGATCCTTGTCGATCGTCGACACGATGCACAATAGTAGTCCTGGTCGGTGTTTTGTATAGATGTACCCTTTAAGTACCCCCCCCCCCCCCCCCCCCCATATCGATACTTTTCAATTCAAATATCAATATTAGCAATTAAAACTGCAAGATTTCTATAAATTTCTTTTGAACAAAATCTTTGTTAAACGGTAAAATTTTCCAAACTATTCGAAATATCGATACTGTATCGCTCATCACTGCTGTACACGTTTAAACGTAATGACGAGCAGCAAGCGGCCTTCACGCTGACAAATAATAAAGGTGGAAGTGATATCGGTTGACTCTCTGTGCGAAATTCTACAGCACAGATCTGTCGAGAGATTCGGGGAACGCTTATACACGAGTCCGTTGAACAAAAAGGGGGACTTGTAATCGGAGAAATTTCGTCTCCATATAAGCATCCCACTCTCTTTCACCGTTCTCTCAGGATACAACCAGCCACCGTGTACCTACCGTACGCCATGAACGTTCAGGCATATCGATAAACTTCAACGAGCCGCTACAATCGCGGAGAATCGGGGTCATATCGGTTTCAGGAGAACCATAGAGCGTACCGGGATACTTCCTCTTGTGTTCCGCGTCCACTTCCCGAGCGAGGGCGAAGTATTTCTCCTTCACGTCCTTCGTCATGTTCTTCCAAAGGATTCCCAGCCTTAGGGCATAAAATATGACAATTAATATTTCGAATAATAAATCGTTCATTGTTACAGATTAACCAGAATACATTATATTGGGTCATTCCATAAGTACGTAATGCAATTTTTCTCTTATCTTTGTAGAAGTTGAAGTACAAAAACGTAATTAAAACTGTTCATCTTCTACCTGTATATACAGTGGGGGACAAAAGTATTCGTACATCCTTTAAAACGGAACAACTCTTTCAAAATTGGTCCGACTCACTTGAGTTCTTTTGTGAAGTTAGGAATATTAGTTTACCAAATAAGGTACCAGTGATCATACTGGTTTAAGTCCCTAAATTCTTACCACCAGGGGGCCAAAATCTATGCCACGCCACCACGAACTTTCCCAATAAAATAGCAGTCAGTAAATAATATGTTAACACTAGTACTACCAAGCAAGTCAAAATGACTTATCAATACACGCTTACAACGACAATTAAAATCTTTTGACAATACATTTTCTCAGATCTTTTGCATCTTTTATTACAATATGAAAGTGAAGAAATTAGTCAATTTTAAAATTTTAAAATTTTTAAAAGTTTTTCACGTTTATCCACCGATCGAAGCAAATATGCATTTATCGTCGGTAGTTCTAGTGTTAAGAAAGGACGAAGAGTAACCACCTCACGCTAATGTCCTTGTTTGACTCCCGAGGATTCTCGGCGGCGAGCTTCTTCCGCCATTCGTTGGCGAACAGCATGAACGCGTTCGCCGGCCTCGGAATTTTTCGTTTAGCATCGTTCCCATCTGCGATTCGACCATCGATGCACAGAAACGCTGGAAATCCATCTGATCGTATCTGCGATCGACCTAGCTGCCGCAACACGAAAATCTTCTCTTGTTCGCCGCACTTTTCCCGATCGCTGGAAATCGGCTCCGTGCGGATCCTTTTCCTCGAACTATTTTCCTTCTCAGCTTCAGGATCTTCGTCAGCCTTTCTCAAAGACACTTTGAATATCGTACTCTCTGATCCGTCCGGCTGGCAATCGTCGCACGATTTTTCGAGTAAATTGCGAGGATAAGGCCTGGCGATGGGCGTCCGTTGATCAGTAGACGGAACCTCCTCGTCGTTGGTAACGAGCTCGTTGTTGATCGGGCATTTCTCGTTCGTTTCTGTCTTGATCGTGGCTGTAATTAAACAATGTCTTGGTAGATTACTACACTGGTTGAAATTTGGATACAGTTAATTTAAAAACAAATTTTTATAAGACCATGTTTTTTGATGAATTCTTATAATTAGACTGCGGATTTTTATGCAAAATAAAAATTTCTAAAGTAATTTATAGACACAGGAGCAATTGTAGTAATTTATTTTCCCTCTTAAGCATCTTATTGGGTTCAGAATAAACTAGAAAAATAAATATGGTGGTTTTACAGAAATTTTGAGTTTTTTCATATCTATACCGCTTTATAACGCATAGCTTTCAATTTGAAAAATTGGAAAATTGAAATTGATTAAATTAAAAAGAAAATAATACAGATTTTACTAGTGAATAAACAATGTTAAGTAAATAAACATTTTTAACCAGTGACGCGAAAATAATTTAAATATGAAATAAGGAATTGAAGAAAATCGTAAGCTTATTTTAATAATTCAATTTACTCGTTTTTATATGTAACGTTCGTTCACTGGTACGTATTCATTCACTGGTAGATTTTCACGTTTATAATTCATTCAAGGTTATAATATTACATTTCCAGCTGTTGCTCTTACAATGCCATCCGCTTAATCCAGAATCGCGACGATAATAATGCATAAAAATTCACGACGGGATTGTTAGATTTCGGGCCTCACCTTTCTGCACGAGATTCAAAATCAATCCAGACGCGTCCATGATGAATGTTTCTGTTAGCACACGATCGAATCGACGCGTTGCCAAATTATTGCGACGTCTTTAACAATAAATAGTGAACCGCTAAACCTTTAATAATTACGGAGGCTAACATACGAATGTTGACATTATTTCGTTGTCGGGGAAGGGGTCGCGTTGGTTGTTGAAAACACTTGAAAAATCGATTTTCTTCCTTTTTTCTTCTTTTTTTTGCTTTGCCTAACAGCTCCTTTCTCAGCGCCGGGTGAAGAGGGGGGTCTAAGAGGTGATGTTGCCCCGGACCTCCCATTCTGTACCTTCCATTTTGTTACGATTAAATGTTATTTCATTTTATGTAAAATAAATTTCAATTTTTGTAGATTCATGTATTTTGTTGTGCTGTATTACAAAAAATCCTTCTCCCACTTTTTAACTAAGGGGGCTCCCGAAAATCTGATAGCCCTGGGCCACAGAAAATCTTAATCCGAGCCTGCCTCTTCTGACGTGATATTAGCCGTGTATAAACTACAAGAATATTCTCGACGTGTCGTTTATTTCCTTTATTTATTTCCATCGAATGAAAAAGAAAATTGTATTTATTTTTTTTTGTAGAATTTCGATTTTTAACGAATGAAAAACATGTGCGAGGAGGACTACTCGAACGTCAAACGCGGTATCGATTATTATGGTGTGCTATCGTTGAAAAAGAACAGCGACGATTTGGAGATCAAACAGGCGTAAGTGAGATCCTCTCTCGATTCCATTGCCGTGTTACCCTTCTCCGTTCGCTTCCTTTATCGATCTCTTCCCGCGTTACGAGACTTCCGCTTCTGTCGCGCATCGCTTCCTCGAAACGACCTTTCTTGTAACTGGCCGAAAGCTCGGTAAAGTCACTATGTTTTTTGATGAATTCTGATAATTATTCCATACCAATGAAAAATTTGAGTGTTGTAGGATTTTAGGATTAATTACAGAAAATGTACACATCCGTTTCAAAAAATAAATATATCAGTTATTTAAAAGAATATAAACAAAAATATAATTCAATAGAAAACAAACTGCGAAATTTCTTTAAAGTCATTAGATTTTTGTATAAGCTGAAATTAACAATTGTTTTTCACTATTTATATATTAATCCCTTGTGTAACCTCCAATTTTTAAAAAAGAAAATACAAAAACAGATACTATGAAGCAATAAAATTAGTGATACTTTGAAAGTACACTAGTCAACATTTCTATAAAGTTATCTTTATTTTCATAGATATTTTCAAAATATATTATCATTCTGCTGTACTAGTTTCTATGTCTTGTAGTGAATAATTTATCGTTCGAGGAATAGGATGTGAAAATTTCGAGAGATGATTGATCGAAGAGATCTAATTGCAATTTGTACCGAGTAGAAATGAATCTTTAATGTACCTCCTGTTATCGGGTATACATTTCCAGATTTCGCCGGTTAGCAGTACGATACAATCCTAAAGGAGCAAAGGATGAAAGTTTCGCGACGATTTTCGCCTTAGTGGCCGAGGCATACGACGTGCTCTCAGATCCCCTTAGGAGGGCTGTATACGATCAATTCGGCGAAGAAGGCCTTAAAAATGGCGTGCCCGGTACAGAAGGATTCATTGAGCCATACATTTATCACGGGGAACCGATGAGAACTTACAGGTACATATTCATGAATCCTTTCAACAAAAATTTAATGAACTCCACCAAGATTTTTTCATTTCTATTAATTCTTAACGAAACTGGCAAACAAAATTTCTATTCTGCTCCAGGCCTTTTGTAAATTAGTCCGACGAAAATCGATAACTGCATAAACAACACCCGCAGTCGGTAATTATTATAATCCCTTGCATGATCGAGAAAGTCGAGCCGCAAGCTCGACCGCGGCGGGGCTTAACAGCCACTTAAAAAACTTTGAATATTTACGATCTGATCTATCGGGAACGCCTCTGCAGGGAATTCTTCGGGACCGACAGCCCTTATGCTGATCTGCTCCATGTACTAACGCAGCCGTCGGCTCCGTTGGAATTTCCCGAGGGACGTGGTTTAAAGCGCAAGGAGGAGCCCCTGATAAAAAGCCTGTACCTAACCCTAGCGGAGGTATCATATATCGACGTTCTACTTATTTATAGTTGTCCTATCGCACGTTGTGTTAATCGCCGTAGACGCCAAGTGATAATCGTTGCTGCAAACAATCCCCCCACCCCCTAGCACTCTGTGTATCGACTGTTCGAACTTGCACACGTGATCCTTTTTGATATCCTTGTTGTTAGGCTGTTCGGTAAAACAGATGGTTCAAGTACACTTGGCCGGGTCAATCGATCATCCCATTGTATTTCGCTCATCTGGCTATAATCAATATACAGGGTGTCTCAAAATAGCTTCGACTCCCGGAAATCAGGGGTTCCTGGGATGATTTGAAATAACTTTTCCCTTAGCAGAAACGTTATCCGAGGCTTCGTTAACGAGATACTAACGAAAGACCCCGACCAATCAGAGCTCAGCTAGCAGACTCGCGCTCTAATTGGTCATGGTTTTTCGTTAATATTTCATTAACAAAGCCTCGGATAACAATTTTTCTAAAGAAAAAGTTGTTTTAAATCACCCCAGGAACATCTCAACTCCGGGAGTTCAAGCTATTTTGGGACACTGTGTATACTACAGTAAATCACCGATGAGTGCTCGAAGGCTCCACGGCACTGACAGGGAGAGATCCGCAGGTGTAACGCTAATAGTGATAGAGTTTGGAATTCTCAAGTCAACGCTTTTTTTTCAGCAGCATAAGGCCATTAGTTTATAAAATATTTATAAATATTAGTTTTTTTTATAAATATTAGTTTATAAATAATGTTCAGTGCCGAGAAGCCTTCGAACACTCATCGACGATTTACTGTAGATACACTGCACATTTTCGTAAACACAAGGCAGGTCTTTTACGGAGGTATCAAAAAAATGAAGATCCAAAGATTGGTTCTCGTGGAGGACGATAAATCGAGAACGGTGACGAAAGAGAAGATCCTAACGATTCCTATTAAACCAGGGATACCCACGGGAACTAGGATCGTTTTCCAGCGAGAAGGCGATCAGGGACCCACCAAGATACCTGGTAAATTTTTTCCCTGACCAGAAAGAAACGCTGAGTCAGTTTTCATGAAATTCCTAATTTTTATTTTCGTGAAATTCCGATTAACCATTTCTGTCCGATATTTTTCAACGAGCAAGCGCTGCATCAAGGGGTGGTCTAGTGGGACTGTAGTCGCGGGCCCCATTCTGAACCTTCCATTTCGAATACTTAATATCTGAACGTTCTAGTATCCGGAAGTACTGTTATCCGCATAGCCGTTTCGACGCGATGTTTTAGTACATACAATCTTATATACACGTTCCCGTATTCGGTCAAACGAATTCTGTAGTATAACAGTTTAGTATGAAGCTAACAGCGTGCGATATTACAATGGCAACTAAACAAAAACGTGTAGTTCTAACTATTGAAACGAAATATAAAATAATTAGAGAGCTCGGAAATGGTGAAAGTGCAATGGCATTAGTTATTTTGTTGAAAAACATATGCGATTTAGCAGCTAAAAATATATAGGATTTCAAAAAAGTTCAATATAAAAGGAAGTGATTGTTCTATTATCCGAAAATTCCCTTATCCGGCCACTTTTGTCTCCCTATTAATACGGACACGAGAGGCTCTACTATATTAAAATTGAATTTTATTTAATTTTATTTAAAGTAAATTTCAATTTTTGAAAATTTACGTATATTGTTGTGCTCTATTAAACATCCCACCTCCCTTTTCAATCAAGGGGCACAAAATTTTAATCCGGCCCTACACAGTCCCTGAGAAAAGTATTCGTCGAACGGAATATGGGTCTTTGTAAAATCAGAGTTTTACACGTTAACCACGCACGGGTCTACGGCCCACGCGACGGCCGATCGATTTGAATATCGCGAAGGATGCGTTTAAAATGCATCGCGCATCTCGTCCCGGACAGAAATGGGTTAATCGCTGCGGTTCGCGGTAATGTCTTTACTCAGTCCGTGGCACGTCAGCGTAGCGGACGTAATCTTCATCACGGAGGACCGGCCTCACGAGACCTTCCGAAGAGAGGGCTCTGACTTGCACATGACGGTCGATATCTTTCTGCGAGAGGCACTGACCGGAACAGTGGTCACCGTCAACACCCTCGACGACAGAACGCTTCGAATCCCAATAACGTCTGTCATCACGTACGTCGTCTTCCTATACGTCTACACACACACACACAGACTTGGGGACCGCACTTCATTTCTCTGGTCGACTAAACAAAATCAGAATCTTCATCGATAACTTGCACACACCTCAGAGAACTGTGTATTCTTCTCCTTCTTTCTTCTTATTCTCATCGTAAAACGTATTCCACATATAATAATACATGCAGGGTGGCCAAAAGTCACTAGACCGTTTTAAAATATCAATGTCAAGAACAAAATGTTGGCCATTTGAAGGACATAATCTGCAAAAGTAATTAAAAATAATTTGCAAGAAATTTATTTATTGTTTATAAAAGCATAAACGTGAATTTTTAATACATACTCAGATAGCACACGACGCCTTGATGACACTCATTTTACGGCTATTTTAGGTTTAAGACGCCTTTAAGCCGTCTTCAAGACGTTGTTGGGCGTTATGTGCTATCTGGGTAAAAGAGTTGTTCTATTTTTAAATGGTCTTATGACTTCTGGGCCACCCTATGGAATTTACTACAGTAAACATAAAAACGTACATTTTAATGGAGGTATGAAGTAATACAATTTTAATGGAAGTAAGCTAGCACTTAATTTCAGTGGTAATTGGTAAGAATGTATAGATTTTTATAGATTCATTTATAGAAATTATTTACTTGCTCCATTAAGGTTTCTATCAGGTTTCAAATAGGGTGTAAGCCTCATGGAAGTTTTTAGTACAGAGAATTTTAGATAAGAGGGTACATATACTGTCCAATTTGCTTATATCCTTTACAGCTTTCTCTTTTGTCTATACTGTTGTGGTGTGAACATGTATAGTGTTACAGTTACTTTTTAAAAATACATAGTGTATTGTACCAAAATAGGGTACAAACCTCAAGAGTTTTTTAGTATTGAAAATTTTAGACAGTAAGGTATATCTACTGTCCAATTACCTAATATCCTTTACAGGTTTCTCTTTTGTCTATACTGTTGTGGTATGAATATGTATAGTGTTACAGTTACTATTTAAAAATACACAGTGCAACACTATGTACTATTTACTCAATTAAAATTTAACTGCTAGAGTCAGTTTTTAACAGCCCACAACAGTTGCATTTCCAACACAACAATATAGACAAGAGAGAAACATGTAAACGATATAAATATACTGTTAACGTTTGTGCAGTTGATCTAACAGCTTCATTCATCTTAGAGAAAAAAATGATTAATGTTTGACGAGAGACGTTAAAGAATATGAAAGTTTAAAAAGATTTGAATAATGTTCGATCTATAAGCAGTTTCCTGCACGAAACTTGAGGAGCTTTCCATTCAGCCTTGTCTCCAGATCTGAACGATCTTATCAGTTGTTCTATTTTCCAAGGAAATTGCGAAAATAGAAGGTGTTCGTAAATAAATGCAACGGTTTCGGAGAAAATCGTGTATCCATTTTATCAGTCCTATTTACGCGAAACAAAATAAATTTGATCGCGAACCTTTCACATGAATGAATAATATGACGTATTTTAAAAATGTTTATGCATATGTAGGCCCGATTACCGGAAGTGCATACCTGGTGAAGGTCTACCGCTACCGGAAATCCCGAAGAAAAAAGGAAGCCTCATCGTAGCGTTTAAAATCGAATTTCCAGTGTACCTGCCAGTGTCCAATAAGCACTACGTCAAGAGAGCATTCGACACAGAAAGCGACATCAGGGACACGGAGTACGTCCATCGTATGATATTGGCGAATAAAATGCGCAAAAACGTGGACTTTGATGTTCCCGTGCGTCGAGACCCTGACGACTGCGAAGCTGTACAATTACAATACACGTGTAATTCATAATTCCTGATTGAATACTAACTAACCTACCCGAAACTCTTATCTTCACGTCAGTTTCTAGATATTCTCGATGTGATAAACAAATTGCAAATTTATAAGACTATGTAACAATCAGGATTCTTGTAATATTTCTTTTACAAATAAAACTTTATACTATCTATTTCATTCACCCTTTACAGAAAACCAAAACTTACCTCGAATATTTGTGTCTCGTCTGTACGATTAGTTTCAAAGTTGAACATATTACATACTCTTATTCGACCAAAATAACTAATTAGTCGAATAATCACTTTAAAATAACGTGATTTGAGTGATGATTCGAGTCTGACATACCTCTGTCTCCGAGAAGGGGATCGTCTAACGATGTTCCAACGGCACAAATTCAAACCGCACGGCTGACCGTTACGAATAGCGAGTGGCGCGCAATCTTGCGACGCAACGGACAACTAGCTCCGCCGGTAAAACAGTCCCCACGGTCGGACAATTCCACTCTTGATCCGTGCAATTTCTTCTTTTCCTCTGTTCTTCGAAATTTTTTCGAAAAATTTTCATCGACATCCCGCCGAACCGGTTTCCCGTTCCGGCGAGCGATCGGCGGCTGGATCACGGGGACCCGTGACAGAAAAGATATGCGCATACGAGTGGAAACGTTCGCGTTCGATGTTGGCCGAACGAAACACGATAATCTCGGGCAATCATATGACTCCTCCGCACGTGACTTTATTTACAGTTGACTGATACACGCTCGCGAACATGTATGGTGCAGTTCCTTGTGACATGATAGACCGAAAACGAAATAAAGTCAGCGAGCAATGCGGTAACTATAAGCGGTCGTCGCTTTATGATGCCTTTGCTCGATAAGCTGTTCCCTTCAAGGAGGAGTTTCAGGAACAACGTTCAAACGTTCGTCGCGTCTAATGTCGGAGCGCAGGAAGATGATAGGTGAGGAGTGTACTAATTTTATTTCTCCCCCTGGACACACACATCCTTGTTTAATTCGTTATCATTTTCCACACACTTGCCGTTCTGTAGATCCTACTTTCAGTATTTTCGAATCTCGTTCGTTCCATCGATATCGATCGCTGATACGAAGTATATCGATCGTCGTCGCTACTAAATCCTTTTCCATGTTTCCCATGTTGCTTGTACGGGGAATTGCATGTTTTTTTTGAATTTCAGAAATCGTTGAAAGAATGACAATTACGAAACGGATCGAACGTAATATTTTCGTGGAACCTTAACCTATTTTGCGTTACGCTCATTTCTAGATCCCCCCGTTGGCGGGAGTCATAATCGTTGCTCGTTACTAATACACTCGTGACTTGGCTTCTGCATCGAGCCGTGAAATTGACCTCTAAGTTTAACACTTTCCAAAACATCTGTTACGATCATTCGAATTTCGTCGGGATATCATTTCACGCCGCGAGGTCGAACTATTTTTTTATTTTCTAGATGAGTAGCATGCGGAAAATAATATGCGTCACGGAAATATGCGTTATTTTGCACGGGGAAACATATGAAGTCCAGAGAAATGCAGCGACAGTATCGGTGCAAAGTACGTAACGGTTCTCGTCGATGCCTCTTCGAAGCACATTTTTAAACCGATACTTTTCGCAAGATTCCCGCGAATTGTAGTAACATTTAAAATTTATACTCGATATAGATTAAAACGTTATATAAGAAAGAACGGATACGTTATGTCAATATAATATTAGATCGAATGTTACAAATAAAGACATTGTTTCCGTTACAAACACGGGAATGCAGAAAATAATTATTCATAGTTTACTACGTATGCGTGTGTTGCATTCACAAATTTTATTAATACCTTCCTCTTACGTATTGTCGTGTATTTCTTCAGTGACAACTATTTAAATTTACATACTGGTAAATACATTTATTTCAAACTAGTTTTATTATCTCTTTTTACATTCTCTAAATAATTTGAATAAAAAAAAATGTTTGAATTCTAAATTTTTGTAAACGATAAGATTTTTACGATTTCTTTTTTTATGTTATTTGTAGGGATTCCGCCTTGTGTCTTGGTAGCGGACAAGTTCGGATCCTCCTGTTCCGGGAATGCGAATGGCGCGGAAGGAAACTTCTCTTTGATTCCCTCTCGCTGGAGAAACGATGGCATAAAAACAAAACGACCGCGATCGATCTCAAAAACAATGCCAGATCACCGAACGCCGATTCGATTAATTTCGCGAGTGGTCGAGGTTTCGAGGTAATTAATCCTTGAATCGTTCGAAAGTGTTCTTCGTCCAAGCATTTAATTGAGTAATTTCAAATTTGCAGCGTGAAAGAACGGCCGAGGATGACGTGAGTTTGTTAAGCGAAATGGTGTTTGGCACTGTAGCCATGACCTACAGAGGACCTTCATTTAAGGTGAAATTCAAGAGCAATCAGTCGAGTAACACTTGAATATACAAATAATAATGTTTGAGTGTCCGTTTTCAGATTCATTCAATGAATTCACCATCCTGCATCATGTGCACCAAGGTTTTCCCTGCTACAGAGCATAACAATTGCAAACCAAGGTAGGCCTGTCCGTTTATAATGAGGCAGTTATTGATTTCACGTTATGGTTGATTTGTCGACCCGATGTTTGACTTATTACTCAATTGTTTTCTAGCGAGAGAGTATCGGACGAAGGGTTGGGTCGTTCCGTGAACTTGGATTCTAATTCCAGCATACGAACCCTCTGTAAGTGGAAATGGAAGTGTAATGTATTGCATTAGGAGACCGTACGAAGTAGCGCTAATTAGGGACATAAATTGGTATGATTTTGATACTGGTATTATGGCATCAAAGTTCAGATAGTATATGACGCCTTAAAGACGCTTTTAAGCCGTTTTCAAGGCGTCATTAGCCGTCATGTACTATCTGGGAGCTATACTGAAACCGATATATTACCAACAACCGAAATAAATACCGGTATTTTTCGGTTTCTATAAGGGTAGAGCTTATATAGTCAATTCTCGATGAGTGTTCGAAGGCTCCTTGACACTGAACATTGAATATTCCATAAACATAAACTAATGGCCATATGTGGCTGAAGCAAATATCATTGGCGTCAGAATTCTAAGATCTATCACAGTGCCAAACCTCATTAAAAAGTCACCGTTAAACCTGGGAACCTCTGCTTATCACTGCCGAGGACCCTTCGAACACTCATCAAAGATTCACTGTATAGGGTTATATAAGACGAAGGTATAACCGAAAATACCGGTATTTTACGTTTCGGTAGAAGTCCCTGGCGCTAATAGCATAAAAACAATGAAAAATTTCTTGCGTAAAATATTGGGTGTAAAAGCTTCTCTGTGTCCAAAGAATCCCCTATGTACAAGCAATTCGATGATCAAATTGATGATTAAGGCTCAAAAGAGAATATTAGAATAGGTCGTTCTTTCAGTGTCTCAACCAAGTTCCGGAAATTTGTCAGGGTCTGAGTTGAACGCTGGTCCAAGAAAGAATTCTATTTGCTCTAGCAACAGCAGCGGATGGGACATAGATATACCGCCACCGATGGGCAGTAAGTTCACGCGAAGTTAAAGAGATGATTCATTGCCGGGAGGTGTTCACTGTTCGGGGATGTAACATGATGATAATCCAGGTTCCCAGTCATTGGAAAGCAGCGGATCGTCGGGTATCGGTAGCCTTTCGAGTTTACGTCGTAGATGGTTACGAGTAGTATCGACTTCCCTCACACGGTCCGATTCCGATGACGTCTTTGGAATGCAATTGAGTGAAAATGGCGGCGATAATAGGGATAATCACGGGAGACGTCATAAAACAAGACTGGGCTTGACGATGTTGGTGCGACTAGCCAAAGGCCACGAAAGGTTTGATCTGTTATTTGTGCAGTAATACGATTGTTTCATTTCAACTGCGACTTGGAAACATTAATTGTCGGTAATTTTTCATTGCAGAAGAATAGAAGCTTGTCTCCTAGAACACATGGCTCTCTTGGAAGGAATGTTAGACCGTCTACGATACTTCTGCATCGAATCGGGTAACCTTAACGCACAGAACAAGGGTGTGCAGCTTCCCGAACGACTTTACCGATCCTCCTCGAAATTCGTTGTTTCGTTACTACGTCTACTTACAAACGTGAACACAAGTCTGAATACACGCGCCCCTTTGCTGTGGCACGATGTGCTGCTGAATTCGGTGAAAATCGAGCACAAAATCAGCACACTGCACTGTAGCTTGCAGCAAATGTGTCAGTTACTGGAAGAAGTTGACACAAAGTCCACTAACTTGTAAGTCGTACGAATATTGTCGCCTCGAATAAAACTGTTCTAAACATCGGAATACGTTTTAGTTTTTTGAGCACCGTTGTGACTGCCGTTCTGACGTATCACCTCGGATGGATCAACACCACGTTACCTGTTCACGACCGACAGCTGGTAATTACAAACCTCTGTTTATATCTACGAAACCAGAATGAATTTTATTTAGAGAAGTAATTGGTATATTTATTTCAGATGGAGAAAGTGGGTACCTGGTATCCCTGCAATCCCCTGTGGGCTCAATTAGGCGATTTATACGGTGCATTGGGTAACCCTAGCAGGGTGGCGCATACGGTCGTTGCTGGAGATCCCCAGAAAGTTGAACTCATTAATTCCGTGCTGTCCTTCTTGTCGTACTTCATTCGCAGTGGGATCGTACGGAAGTGTCAAGAATACTGTTGCGTCACCGAGGAAGACATCCAAGAAGCTGCGAACGTTATAGAACAGGCGAGACTAAAGCGTCCACATTTATTCAATCCGAAACTAACATCCACGGATCGTGGTAGCTTGGCGTTTAGACGCGTGTCGCAGGCATCACCGCGTAAACAAATACCTGTGCAAGAACATCTATCGGACACGGAATGCGGTGACGCTGCCACGCAACGCTCTTATCCACGGTGTACCATGGACAGACTAAGGGCAGAAGGGTCTGTAAGCCCTCTGAAACGGACCACCACAATGGAAACGAATCTCGATTCGTTCATGCTGAAACCGTTCGAAGTTGAGAGTGAAAGGAAACTCTTCTCGAAAGAATTACCGCTCGATGAGAACCAAAAAACCACCGTCGACGAGAAAACCTGCGCGTCCAGTAAAGTCAAGATAATAGTAAGCGACAGTGCGACGCAGGATATTACCGATGGGACTAAGACTGATACCGAACATTGCCCCGATTTTCCATTGCGGAACTTCGAGAAGAAACTGGAGGACGACGACACGGAAGAATTGTTTGCGAATTCGAAAACTGACACGTTTCAAGAGTACGAGACGTCGGTCGATCCACTGAAATTATATTCAAGCAGGCCAGATTTCGAGTCGGGCCAGAGCATGGTCGAGGGAATGAAAAATTCGCATGTTTATTTCATGCTCGGCGACGAAGGGAAGTCCTCGAAAACACTGCCGCGGCCACGTCTCGGATACAATTGTCAGTGCTCGTACATGTTCACCAGAGTACCGAGCACGTCCGCACAGTTGCCCGAAGGTGTGCTAAGGAAGATCATCCAGAGAAATTTTCCAGAGTCGTCGAAAAGTATACAATCGCCACCCGGTGCGCCTTCGAGTATGACAGCGAGATTCTGTCAGAGGTGCAACGGTCAGGGCTACGCACCCTCTCAAAATTTCGACAGTTCTAAACAGGTACTGGAAACGCCGACCAATGCGACCGAGGTTCTGCGTACCTGTGGCAACACCGTGGGCGATGAAAATGTCGGACTGTCGAGATCGAACAGTCTGGAAGCTTTGATGGAAGCCAGCAGCGTTGTGGAATTGCCCATGCCACGGTTGGTTTCATGAACGAAACATCAATTTACAAAATACGTTATCCCCTTAAGTGATTTATATTAGTATTAAAACGGTCAATTTGTAATTGCAGGTCGAAGAAAATAAAAAAGACTGATTTGCGCCAGGATACTGGATTTACCAAAACGCTTTTGCAGAACAGGATAAAGAGCGACGAGTCCCGTGGAACGAGTAACTCGGAGCCAGGGTATACATGGGGTTTAGTCTTGCAGGGGTTGCAGAAAAAGAAACGGAGAAGAAAACGAAACGTCGTTAAACAAGGGGAAAATAACTGCGAGGTTGAGACTGATCGAGAATGGTGGTACTGCATACGGGAAGAATGTCTCGCTGGTATTCGTTTTCCGACTATCGATCAACCGATCGCCGAATCGCTTTGTATTCTAGCCGATTTAGATACGTGGCATGTTGGAATTATATCCAACAACACGCCATCGCATACTGCACCGTTACCAGTGGGAATGTCACGACTCGTTGCTAACATGCTGGAAGGCTTTGCTTACTTATGGCGAAAATACCATTCAGCATCACATGTAAGAATATAATTTGTGTAGATTTGCTGAAGACTTTCAAGCAATTCCGAAATTATTTTGTCGTAAAGAATATTGGTACTAATAATCTGCAAATCTTGTTTTAGTGTGTAGGTATTCTGGAAGCGAAACTACGGGAAATGTGGCTGAAAAGTGAAGCACTGGCTGAAATGCTGATGGCGACAGAGCTGTGCGATGCCAGTGTTGCAAACCTCACGAACGCCCTCGACCTTGATGCAGCTGACATACCACTGTTACTAGCGGTCGCAACGTCTCATTCACCAGAGATAGCGCAAAGATTCGGTCTGACGCTCGCTTGACCACGTTTTTATTATTCTCGTCATAAATTGTTCTGCTTTAACACGAACACCCCTTGTTTTTGTAAGCTGTAAAAGGTATTTCATTATTTGTTCGTATATATATGATTGTATATTATTGTTTTTAATAGCTCAAATACGCCAATAAAATGTTCATCCGTTTTTTCAAATGGGTTTCCCTTCGTGGAGTTTGGATTCGTTCAATTTGTTCTTTTTTACATTTTACGACGGTTTTTTTATTTGCATTTAAATGTTTCATTTTATGTATATATTGTTAATGTTTACACGTGCAATAATCGACACTTTCCCTTTCGGTGTTCGATACTTTTAAAAATCCTCATTTCAAAAAGCGGATGATTGTGTAATTTTTTAAAATGAGGATAAAATGATTTCTAGTGTATAAAAGTGCGTTGCATAGTCTTTTATAGATGGTGATTACGGAGTCATATATAAAATTATTGAGAAAATGTAAACATAATTTAACACATAGCTTATATACCCGTTTTTTTTATACATCTAAGAATTCAATTCTTGCGCACTCTTCAGGAGTGGATAATAAAACGTAGATTAATTTTTATACTTTAATGTATTTTAGTTTCTTGTTTCAGCATTCTAATCTAACTTCGACAAGTGAATAAGTACGGAACAATTGGTAATATCCCAAGCGTTAAATAAATGACTAAAAACAAAAGTTTTCATGAAAATAAAAGCATTTTTTAATACTTTTTATTCGTACTTTAATGAAGCTATCGCTTTTAACAACTGTACTCTGACATTAAGACGTTGCAAGAAATTACGTACCTTGTATGATGTATCAACATTAAACGGAGACTTTTCTTTCAGAAGCAGATCAATTTTATTTACGAAACACAATAGAAAGTATATTAAAAAAAGAAAAACGTTATGCAATTCGAGCGTTATTATTTCGATAAATCGTAGAAAATGTTAGAAGCCGAATAAGAACTGACAACTGATACGTAACTCGTGATCGATGAAAAGTTTTTCAAGTGCAGCTTAAATACAAAATTCTTGTTCGTTATTATTGGTTTGTGTTCACAATATCGTCGATCTTTAATATACTGCGAACCGTCTCCGAGGCAAGCTGAATAGCGCTCGTCGAAACTAATACCGGTTGAATTACGTTCTCCTCTAAAATATCGGTAATTGCTCCCTTTCGGACATTGATCCCAGCAGTGTGTTCCCCTTTAGCGTGTCTATTACGGAGTTCCGTAACGGTTGCAATGGGATTTAATCCTGCATTTTCTGCCAGTGTAGACGGTATTACCTGAAATATTTACATAAATTTAAATATCGCAATGATCAAAAACGAAAAGAAAATCAACATTATGCGTTAAAAGTTTATAAATCTGGACCCGAGAGCCAGAGTATATTAAGTCCACTTTAAAAAAAAAACTGATATTTTATGTATTTCCAGTATCAAATATTTTGTTCTAAGTCGTCTAGTTTTATTGTAGGTACATAATAGTCCAAAAATGATATTAAGTTCATATTTTTGAAACAGTGTAAAGTTCATCGCATAGGGGAATTAATGTTAAGTTCTCTATTTTTACATATAGAGACTTGCCTTAAATCCATTCAATAGTTCGAAGGTAGCGATTGTTTCTCGCTCAATTCTTACCGAACGGTTACGAAATTACAAGGTTTCCGCACCTTTGATTTACTCTCCTCTAAAGTTTGAAAAGTGTGACTTAATACACTCTGGCTCTAGGGTCCAGAAATAGGAAGTCTTTTAAGAAATTGTTGATTTACGCTTTGACAACACCGTCTATATGCTTCCCACAGTGCTCACCTCAAATGCATCAGCGTAAGCTTTAATGCAGTAAGCATCGACGCCGCTCAACGTTTGAGCATACGCTGCCACTCTCAATGATATCTCGATCTCAGGCGCTCCTCCTCCAGCAACTAAGGCCTGCTGCTTCACTAGACAACGAACTACACACAACGCGTCGTGCAGTGAACGCTCTGCTTCTTCCAAGACCAGTTTATTACTGCCGCGTACAAGAACGGTCACCGTCCGTCCAGGATTATGAATTCTAGTAATCTGTAGTAAAGATTATTTTTTAAATTATCTTTCTTTATAATAGAAACTGAAGATCTTCAGTTGTGTACCGACCTTAACGAACTTCGAATTTCCAGTCTGTACTTCCTCGCACAATTCCGCGTTCACAAGATTTTCAGCGACAAAATGATCCAACGACGCGATCGGCCTGCAGCCTAACGTCTTGCAGACGAACGAAATGTCCTCGCGTTCGATATCCTTGATCACCATAACTTTGATTTTATCTAAAAAGTGTATGGCCAGATCGCTGACAGCGTCACGGAGAATCGACTTCTGTACCAGGAGTACGTTGCAACCGGCTTTTTTGATTTGTTTCACGATATTTAAAATATAGGCCCTTTCCTCTTTCAAAACACGGTCCATCGCGGCATAATCGGAAACAATAATGTTGTGGTCCATCTGAAGTAATAAAAAAACGTTTTACGTGTACCCGAAAAGTCGTAATAATATACAGTACAATCGCCATTATTGACGAATCACTTACATCAGTTTTAGGTGGGGAAATGCAGAATTGAATTAAGCCTATCTTTGCTTTTTCAATGCGTTTCGGTCCATTGACGTTGCAAGATTTTTGCGTGAATATTAATCCTTCTACAAGCTCGGTGTCTTCGACTGTGCCACCCAACTTCTTAATTATTTTTATATTCTATGAATATAAACATCAATATAATTAAATATATTTAATTGTTACATCAGTTTACTTTTTTCTAAAAAAAATTATTCTTACATGAAGATCAACGTCCTCTTTTCCTTCTTCAGTAACCTTTAGTACTGCATTCACAGCTAGAGGAGCTAACAGACTTGATTGTTGAAAAACGACCTAAGACACAAAAAATATGATAAACATTCTGTTCACTAAGTTCCCATTGACACTAGGTTTACGGGACGCATCATTCTGACGCATTTCGAATACCTTCTAACCTCGAAATTCAATATTTGGTATATCTCTACGGATCCGCGTCAATTTGACGCGATCCTTAAATGAGTATTAAATAAAATAAGTTGTTTTTTAAAGAAAATGTGCTGTTCTGTTAACGCGTGTCCATAGGTATACAAGAAATGTCTGTGAATCTAGTGTTAAAATCTGGAACATTCTCCATACAGTCCTCTAAAAATACATACTTTTGAACTAAGCGAAGTAGCTGCAGCTCTGATCAGTGATACCTTGTCGATCAAGTCGATAGGAATAGACATATTAAGCACAGCATGTACTGCTTTACTTGCAGCCTTCTGAAACGCATCACTGATTAACGTAGGATGGATTCCTTTTTGCAGTAAGCGTTCTGCAGCCTCTAAGAGAGAACCCGCTAATACAACGACGCTAGTGGTACCATCTCCTGCCTCAATATCCTGTGCTCTTGATAACTCCACCAACTGAAAAGAAAATGTAACGCTGTATGTTAAATAAAAGATTATAAAACTACACAATTATTCAGCACAAAATTACCATTTTTGCTGCAGGATGCACAACACTCATTTCTTTTAAAATTGTAGCACCATCATTCGTGATTGTAACTTCACCGTTGCTAGCTTGAATCTAAATACACAGAAGTGAATCATTTTCATTTACCATAATTTCAAACTGCTTACGGTACAATTGAATTTAAGAATTAATAACATATCTTTACCATCTTATCCATTCCCCTAGGACCCAAACTGGTACGAATCGCATCACTAACAGCTGAAATATTAATAAATAAGTGTCCAATGTAACATTTCATTCAGAATTCCGTCTGTTTATAATTCTTAATTACGAGCGCAAAAATAATGCGTAAATGAAACGTTAAATACAAATAACGGAGATCACATGTTACTCGATTTTCTTTCTCTACACGTCTAATTAAGTTTCCTTCAATGTTCAAACATTTCGATTTGCATATCGAAATTGAGTGAAATCGGTAAGACAATGTTAAATTTTTCCAAGTTTGTGACACATAACGTGATTAACGAGCCTAAACGACGACGTGCCGGACATTACTATATATGGTAAGACATTTGTTGCCGGTACGACCATTAATCCGTGAAAAAGCAAAGGATGGAGAATGTTGCGTGATGTTAACGGATTCGTTCACCTTTTGCGGCATTAATATTGCTGCTTCGTATGTCCGCAGGTTTGCTTTTATCTTTATAAGCCTGATTATGGGCAGTACGTCCATCGCCGATCGCTGTTCTCGCAGTCATTTTTTGGTAGATCGGTCACGTTCACAAATCGTGTGTGTTGCAACGCTAAATTCGCGAGTTTATAAGGAGCTTTGTTCCTTTGTCTCTGCGAAATGATTTTTCGCGGTACTTTTTCCTATAATTCTTTGAACGTTTTAATGAAACTTTTTTTCTTTCTAATGCACAATCTCGTTTAACACGCGCTCAAGAAACGACTGGAAACCAAAGTACGTCGAATAGGATGGGAGTAAAGTGAGCAAGAAATTAAAGAATTACGTTATTCAACACCGCCGCGTAGCGGTTGATTCGTAAGATTCCTTAGATGATTCGCATTGTTACTAGAATATAAATTTCTGAGACAGTCACATCAATCAAGGGTTATCTATTTACCGTGATATTCAATCGATAAACAGGATTTAACAATTGCAATTAAAAATATTTTCCTAGCTCAAACGAGGTATATTAATAGAACTGTCATCCAATGCTTTTTTGTGGTTAGATTTTGTGGAGTTCTAGGGACCCCATTACCATTTTACTGTCAATGCCCGTCGTTACTGATAAAGCATGAATTCTGTGTATTATTAGCACAAACGAAGTGTTATATATTCCATTCATATTGCGTGTATCTATATGATTTGGCGGGAATATTGTAGCGCAAAGAACGTAGATTAATCTCCTGTCAGTGAAAATAACAATAAACAACCAGAACACTGTTAAAATCGCATTTAAACGCGGAGTACCACTATTTGTGGACCACTGGCGCCATCCGTGGCGAATCGCTGAAACTGCTGGCCAATTATATGGCTAGCAGTTTCAGCGATTCGCCACGGGTGGCGCCACTGGTCAAAAAAATAGTGGTACTCCGCAATTAAATGCGATTTTGACAGTGTTCTGATTGTTTATTGTTATTTTCAATGAGAGGAGATTAATCTACGTTCTTTGAGCTACAAACTGAATGCTAGATCAAGACGTAACCTGTCCATATAACCTTGGAAGAGCTATTCAAAATGAACTACCCGGGGTAAGCATAACGAGAGACAGTGTCAATCGTGTCAAACAAATGCGATTTTAACAATGTTCTTGTGATTATTAGTGTCCAGCCGTTAGAGAATCGTAATCTACGTTCTTTAAACGTTGTATCGAATGCAAAACGAAGGAGAATCATGCCCGTTTAGCGGTGTAAATGCGATCGAAATATTTTGCAATCTGGTTGTCGCCCCATAAGAGGTTACGGTAATACAGGCATAACTAATTTTATTAATTCAGGGCTTCTGTACTATTGCGTCCATGCATTAAATCCTGAGGGGCAATTTGAGACTAATGACGTTTATATTAAGTGCTTAATTACTGAGATATTTGCATTTTTCCATCGCTAGAAATTTTCACTCACCTGTCGATATACTTTGGAGTGGCAATCCGGTTGCCAAAATGTTTCTATCGCATTTAAACCGCTATACGGGCATGATTCTTCTTCGTTTTGCATTAAATACAACGTCTAAAGAACGTAGATTAGTATTCTCTAACGGCTGGACACTAGTAATTACAAGAACATTGTTAAAATCGCATTTGTTTGCAACGGTTGACACTGTCTCTCGTCATGCGTACCCTGGTTAGTTCACTTTGAATAGCTCTTCCAACGTTATATGGACAGATTACGCCTTGATCAAGCATTCAGATTGAAGCTGAAAGAACGTAGATTAATCTCCTGTCATTGAAAATAACAATAAACGACCAGAACACTGTTAAAATCGTATTTAATTGTTGAATACCACTATTTTTTTGACCGGTGGCGCCACCCGTGGCAATTCCCTCAAACTGCTAGCCAAATTATATCGACAGGTGAGTGAAAATTTCTAGTAATGGAAAAATGCAAATAACTCAGTAATTAAGCACTTAAAATGACCGTCATTAGTCTCAAATTGTTCCTCAGGACTTAATGCATGGACCCAATAGTGCAGAAGCCCTGAATTAATAAAATTAGTTATGCCTGTATTACCGTAACCTCTTATAGGGCGACAACCTGATTGCAAAATATTTCGATCGCATTTACACCGCTAAACGGGCATGATTCTCCTTCGTTTTGCATTAGATACAACGCTTAAAGAACGTAGATTACTATTCTCTAACGGCTGGACACTAGTAATTACAAGAACATTGTTAAAATCGCATTTGTTTGCAACGGTTGACACTGTCTCTCGTCATGCGTACCCGGGTTAGTTCACTTTGAATAGCTCTTACACCGTTATACGGATAACTTTCGTCTCGATAAAATACTCGATTTATAGCTGCAAGAACGTAGATTAATCCCCTGACATTGAAAATAACAATAAACGACCAGAACACTGTTAAAATCGCATTTATTCGCGGAGTACCACTATTTTTTTGACTGGTGGCGCCACCCGTGGCGAATCGCTGAAACTGCTAGCCATATAATTGGCCAGCAGTTTCTGCAATTCGCCACGGATGGCGCCACCGGTCGAAAATATAGTGGTACTCCGCAATTAAATACGATTTTAACAGTGTTCTGGTCGTTTATTGTTCTTTTCAACGGCAGGAGATTAATCTACGTTCTTTCAGCTTCAATCTGAATGCTTGATCAAGACATAACCTGTCCATATAACGTTGGAAGAACTATTCAAAGTGAACTAACCGGGGTACGCATGATGAGATACAGTGCCAACCGTTGCAAATAAAGTGCGATTTTAACAGTGTTCTTGTAATTATTAGTGTCCAGCCGTTAGAGAATAGTAATCTGCGTTCTTTAAACGTTGTATCGAATGCAAAACGAAGGAGAATCATGCCTGTTTAGCGGTCTAATAGCGATCGAAATATTTTGCAATCAGGTTGTCGCCCCATAAGAGGTTACGGTAATACAGGCATAACTAATTTTATTAATTCAGGGCTTCTGCACTATCGGGTCCATGCATTAAGTCCTGAGGAACAATTTGAGACTAATGACGGTCATTTTAAGTGCTTAATTACTGAGATATTTGCATTTTTCCATCACTAGAAATTTTCCCTCACCTGTCGATATAATTTGGCTAGCAGTTTGAGGGAATTGCCACGGGTGGCGCCACCGGTCAAAAAAATAGTGGTATTCATCAATTAAATGCGATTTTAACAGTGTTCTGGTCGTTTATTGTTATTTTCAATGCCAGGGGATTAATCTACGTTCTTTCAGCTACAAATAGAGTATTTTATCGAGACGAAAGTTATCCGTATAACGGTGTAAGAGCTATTCAAAGTGAACTAACCCGGGTACGCATGACGCGATTCAGTGTCAACCGTTGCAAACAAATGCGATTTTAACAATGTTCTTGTAATTATTAGTGTCCAGCCGTTAGAGAATAGTAATCTACGTTCTTTAAGCGTTGTATCTAATGCAAAACGAAGGAGAATCATACCCGTTTAGCGGTGTAAATGCGATCGAAATATTTTGCAATCAGGTTGTCGCCCCATAAGAGGTTACGGTAATACAGGCATAACTAATTTTATTAATTCAGGGCTTCTGTACTATTGGGTCCATGCATTAAGTCCTGAGGAACAATTTGAGACTAATGACGGTCATTTTAAGTGCTTAATTACTGAGATATTTGCATTTTTCCATCACTAGAAATTTTCACTCACCTGTCGATATAATTTGGCTAGCAGTTTGAGGGAATTGCCACGGGTGGCGCCACCGGTCAAAAAAATAGTGGTATTCAACAATTAAATGCGATTTTAACAGTGTTCTGGTCGTTTATTGTTATTTTCAATGACAGGAGATTAATCTACGTTCTTTGAGCTACAAACTGAATGCTTGATCAAGACGTAACCTGTCCATATAACGTTGGAAGAGCTATTCAAAATGAACTAACGGGGGTACACATGACGAGATACAGCTGTGATGGGCAACTCAGCGCTACATGATTTCACTGTTTTTTATTGAAAAACTCGTAAAAAAATATACAATTTGCAGTGGTATTTGTGTAGATTTAACAATTGTCTTAAATAATACTTATATATGTATACACATTCCTACACACTGATTCGCCGCGTGTCATAGTGTATCCGTTCCTGTCATAGCACAGACAGACTGTGCCGATCCAGTACTTTCTTTTACCTGTTCCCCATGCTCCCCTCTTAGCTACCTGCGCCTATTAAGAACGTTCTAACATAGAACATGCTGTTATGTAATGAATGCAAAGTTTGCAGCCATTAGCTCGATATTATCTTCGGTTTAGTCAGTCTATTAATTATTTAATCGTAAGTACGATGTGAGGAATCACCGGAGCCCACGTAAGAGTCCCCGTGTGTGGGAGAAAGTGGGGTCATACAACCCCCGGTACCTACGTAAGAGACCCCGTGTCTGGGAGAAACTGGGATCATGGAACCCCCGGAGTATGTGCAAGAGAGCCCGTGTGTGTGAGATGATGTCCTAGGACCCCCGCAGCATGTACAAGAGATCTCGTGTGTGTGACCCCGAATATGATATAAATGTTTCAATGACAATATGATGCGCTACGGTACAATACGTTTATTCAATTCAAATGCTCGCTCGCGACTATCGTCCTTGAGTGGAAGAGAGGCAACCGCTCGCGAACCCGTATCAACCCTCCACCGTCTTGGAACATTGTAGTGGGCTGGTCCCATATGTACCAGACCCGAACCTGGGACAACAGCCAGTATGGTAGTGCAAGAGAACCTCTCTGGTACGGAGCACGTATCCAACGCACCCTCTACCAAGCATGCTACAAATCTTTCTCTAAATCCTATTTCCCAGGCAAAGTCTAAACACGTCCGATATCTGGCTTCTCAGTAGAAACCAACAGTATTACAATTAGTATACGCACTACTGCCCGTACCCTAAGACTGTGTAGAGAATCAACGAGCAAAGTGAATTAATAATAACTTGGTATGCACAATGGACGGTTACAATTTAAATCTATTAATTAAGATTTGATGAATATGTAATGATGATTAAAACAATGAATATCTAATTAACATTTGACAAATGAATATTTAATAAAAAAAAATAAATTCTCAAATTTTTCCGACACTTTTTTGAATCCAAGATGGCGGAAAAACCTGCACGTTTGTGGCGTCATATAACCATATTTGTGAAGCTACATTTTTGGTACCTTTCATATATTATCTACTTCATGTTTCTGAAAAAAATTGTTCAATTGTATTAAATTTGTAAATGAAACAAGACTTATTATTTTCTGATATTCTGTCAGTAATTAAATTTAA